TTCTCAAATCACAAGACTCCTGCATTTGGTTATAAACGATTTATAAACGATTTATAAACCGCTCAAGCGATAGACGTTCACTTTTTTCAATCAAACTTCCTCAGCGAAACGATTCAGGCTATAAATCAACTTTTTCTTTTTTCTCAATTGAATGAAAAGTTCTCAAGTTTTTTTTCGGAGACACGCGCTCTCCTCTCTTTTTTTGTTTTATTTGTCGGAAACCGGCCCTGATTTGTCATTTTAATGATCTAGAAAGGAATGACGAAAAAATCTTGTGTTGATTATTTTGTGAAAAAAATCTTGTGTTGATTGGGATGATCAAAAAGCGAGAAAGATTGCACGTATTGATGATGAATATTTGGATCGCATTTAAGGGTATAAAAAGAATGAGCTCGTTCTCTGCTGATAGATCAACAAAACTAAAAATTTCTCGACTCCCGGGATCATATTTGGATTATGGTACTTGTGACTAAATTCCTTGGCGACTTTACTCCCATTTTACAACTAAAGTCAACAAGTTACAACTATCCCACAAAACTATTGCTTTAGTCAAAAACATGCCAACTTTCGCAAGCTAATGCAATCTTGTACTTTTGGCACCTAGTACAATCTAGTACTTGTACTAGCACTAGTTTCTATCTCTTTTGATATCCTTGTCTCGCAAAATAAAAAAAGTTGAAGAGAAACTAGAGGCAAGGTGGGTTTGAAAGTTTCCATGTTTAGAAAATGCCTGAAACGCAAACTTTCGAAATTTTCTTGTACTCGTAAGGCTTTGTAACACACCACATTTGATTTAATCTTTTTTTTTGATCATTTTTTACCATATTTAAGTTTTGATTGAACCTGAAAGAGACTGTTTGACGTCAAGAGAATTTTACCAATTTCAATGTTTTCATTATCATCACGAATATCCAAAACTACCAAAAAAACCATAATTCATTTTTCATATTTATAAAGTTAAAGATTTCCCGAGCATTAGATGTTACACGAGTTTCCTTATAACCCAATTTTAAAGTCATCAAAAAAAAGATTATAATCCATCTCCTCTTTTGATGTTTGGCCTGATCATCTAAGTTTGTCTCTTGACGTCAAACAGTCTCTTTCAGGTTCAATCCAACGCTTTTCTCTCACCAAAAACAATTGAATTCCTCCAATCCACAAAAAAAGAATGTGTTGTTGATGATCGTGGATCAGAGAAGGTCACTTCGTTCTACCAATCAAAATGTTTATCGCATATTTCGACAATCTCCCGTGAGTAGAAACAGGGAAGTGAAATTGGGGATCGGCAAAATGATAAGGTTTATAAGCGAAAGGTTTATAAAATATTTTTTAATATCTAAAATTGCATATTTTTAAACTTCGCCGATGTATTGATCATTGTACTGTTGTTCCTACTAAACAACGTTTATTTACCCTGTACCCCTGAAAATTTTAGTGCTCCACAAAAAGCTAAACGCACTCTGAATTATTAGCAAAAGATGAGTAGCAAACAATGTTCATACTTCTCACTAGGAAAAGCTGAGAGCTTCCCGTGAGCTTTCGTTTCCGGACCACATACCTCTTACTAAATCGAGTATGGAAATTCATAATCTGAAATCAAAATCTGCTAAATAAGCTTGCAAAAAAAAAAAAAAAAAAAAAAAAAACCGAAGCTTTCAAAGGACGCTTTTCAATCACCCCCCCCCCCCCCCCCCCCCCCCCCCCCCCCCCCCCCCCCCCCCCCCCCCCCCCCCCCCCCCCCCCCCCCCCCCCCCCCCCCCCCCCCCCCCCCCCCCCCCCCCCCCCCCCCCCCCCCCCCCCCCAAAAAAAAAAAAAAAAAAAAAAAAAAAAAAAAAAAAAAAAAAAAAAAAAAAAAAAAAAAAAAAAAAAAAAAAAAAAAAAAAAAAAAAAAAAAAAAAAAAAAAAAAAAAAAAAAAAAAAAAAAAAAAAAAAAAAAAAAAAAAAAAAAAAAAAAAAAAAAAAAAAAAAAAAAAAAAAAAAAAAAAAAAAAAAAAAAAAAAAAAAAAAAAAAAAAAAAAAAAAAAAAAAAAAAAAAAAAAAAAAAAAAAAAAAAAAAAAAAAAAAAAAAAAAAAAAAAAAAAAAAAAAAAAAAAAAAAAAAAAAAAAAAAAAAAAAAAAAAAAAAAAAAAAAAAAAATTCAATTCTTTAAAGCCTCGGAATTTCACTTTAATTTTGACTAGTTTGCAAACCTATTTAGCAAATTTTGATTTCCAGATTATGAATCTCCATAATTGAATTGGCTCAAGATCTTCTGAAACCCCAGCTTACGAAAAGGAAGTCACTCTTTCTAGTCAATAAAAACTACCTTTGTTTCAAGTAATATTTACCAAAACGCAGGCAATCCAAACGTATCGATGACCAAATTAGGTGTTTTTGTTTACGTCTTTTATCGCTTATCTTCTCGTACCCATTGAAACGGAGATTTCGCGATTTGATCCCAAAACTAAAACACTAATAGTTTTTAGATGTTAGCGTTAGTAGAATAATAAATTGTTACAAACCATAGCAAAAGAAAGAGTCAACAAGATGAGTGAAATGAAGACAATAGAACGCAACAGCCACGATCAACCTATAATAAAAGATTTTATTTCATTTAAACAGCTTTACCCTGCGCCTGTTTGGGGAGTGCAACATTGAGGAAACTTTAGTCGATCACTCGGCTTATGTTTCCGAACAATATCTGCAAAAGAACTTTGAAGAATACTCGACTCAAATTAACCTTGCATAACTTTTCATTGACGTTTCTTTTCCCATTCATTTTGGTATTTATTCTAGTAAATAGCGATTGTAAAGTTATTGGCTGGACAAATACTAAATAGGTATTAAAAGGGATTAAAATGCTTTAAATACGTTACCTCTTCGCGTAACATTTTAAAGTGATGATGATTGATGATGATTGATGATGATTGATGATTGATTGATGATGATTGATGATGATTGATGATGATTCAGAAGTCAAGCAAGACACGAAAAAGCTGATATCTGACAGACTAAATTGTTCCATGTAAAGTTTAAATCTAAAATACAAACCCTGGTTTATATAAATAAATTTCCATTTGCAATCGATATTTCTATCGTTTTCTCATTCTATCGTCAAAACACAACAACTCCCGGCTTTCCATTGCATTTCTCATCAACTAAAAAAATTGCACAAAATATAGAAAAAATACGTACATTCCATCTTTTCAATAATCCTCAAATCGAAATCTAGCTTTGTCATTGGAGGGAATCGCTTTTTCATGCAGTATCTGAATACCCTAGAAACCAAATCTTTTCATAATAAAAAAAACAAGCTACCTCTTCCAGGATCAAAGAAGTGAAACACTGTATAGGATGTCTAGGAATTCAGTCCAAAGTTCCAGAGCTTTTTCCAACATCTAAACGTGAATTTCATACTTACAGTGTAAACAATTTTGCCTGAATCAAATCAAAAGCTCCATTGAATTTCTGATCAACAACTTGTAGCCAATAGGTTGAATTGTACTTTCTAGAAACATAATAAAAATTTTTTGATGAAATATAGGAATACCGTTGATTTATTGAAGAAGCCCTTGTAGGAATCGAAATTGTATGACTAAAAATATAAAAATTAGATATTATATTTATAAAATCACCATATTTCCTTAATTATCCCATTAATACACGTTCTATGAAGTTGAATACATCCATCCGTATCACCAAACAGTTAAGAGGAGCTAACACGTAGCAGCAAAAGTTAAGAGGAGCGATCCGTATCACCAAACAGTTAAGGAGGGCTATCCGTATCTGCCAAAAACTTAAGAGGAGCGATCCGTAGCAGCAAAAACTTAAGAGGAGGCGATCCGTAGCACCAAAAACTTAAGAAGAGCGATCCGTAGCAGCAAAAACTTAAGAAGAAGCGATCCGTATCACCAAAAACTTAAGAGGAGCTTGATCCATGGCACCAAAAACTTAAGAGGAGCGATCCGTATCACCAAACAGTTAAGAGGAGCGATCCGTATCAGCAAAGACTTAAGAGGAGCGATCCGTATCATAAAAAACTGAAGAGGAGGTGATCCGTATCAGCAAAAACTTAAGAGGAGCGATCCGTATCACCAAAAACTTAAGAGGAGCTATCCATATCACCAAAAACTTAAGAGGAGCTATCCGTATCACGCAAAAACTTGGGAGGAGTGATCCGTAGATAAACAGGTAAGAGCGGCGACATCCTAAAAGACTCTTTGTCAAGCGCGACTTCAATCATATTGGTACTAATAAAGTTCGGAGGGAATTCAGCTTGACTTGAGCAGACCCATATTTCAATCATCGTCTTATTTCCATGCTCGACACCTTTATAACGTGCAACAATTAGAACTTTTGGGCGCTAGAGTAGTTGGGGGCAGTCTGGAACTTGATCCAAAATCAACATTTTTCCACGAAAACTTCCGTACAGAAGTTTTTGACTAATACTTTTATAACTTTTTTATTAATCTTATGTTTTATTTTAACAACATCTAATAACAAGAAACAACAATAACAAAACGCAGCTAGGACAACAAAAATGCAACAGGGACACTCAAAAGTAAGAAGATCAAGTCGAGGGTGCTTCTTGGTCACTTCTCTCCAGAAAAAGTACATCAAGTTTTCAGTAGTGTGTTGCCATTTTCACAAAATTTCAAAGAAATGATCGTCCCACAGTTCACCCCAAATGCCGTTTCTCATCCGAATTTTTGTTTTTAGTTGACTCCAAAGAGACTCAATTGCTTGAGTGTAGTTGCTGGATTTACAAAATTTCGTGAATAATTCACCCTTTGATGCACATATCCTAAGTTGGCCAGGTTATTGTAAGCGAGCCAACAGTCGGTGTGCACAGTAGTGCCTGGCAACACAAATCTTTGGATGGTTCCCTCTAGGGTTTGAGCACGGCGCGCCGCGGCGGGTACTGAACAACTCAATCAAACATTGCTTAGTGCCTTGCACAACTCCTCAACTAACCAATCCTTACGAACTACTCGGCCGACATTATACTTTCTTCGAACAGTATGCGTCTCATCAATACATACAAGTTGACCAGGACCACCAATAGGAGCAACAGGATTTTGAAAGATTTCGACAATTACATCTCGGTACCATTAATGCCATTGAACTATGGTGTTATGTTGGACTTCACAATCAAAGGCTTGTCGATCAACGACAGTCATGTCATGCAACCAGAGGTAAGAGTCAAGGAAAATGGCCTTACGAGCTCCGCGCAAAATCTCAAAAAATGTATCCTAAAGAAAACTAAACAAGAAGATTGATAAAGTGAACAAGAACACGTACAAAAAAGATAAAAAGAAAACTACCGTAAATACTGTAATACAATCATGGACAAAAGGACAGACGAGTTGAGGAAGGTCAATGGACCCGGTGAACTTCTTGCCATGGCTCCTAAAAAACAAGATAAATATACATAACAAAGAGAGTCTCTTACCCCATACCGTGATCGCTTCACCACCAAAGTTCACCGTAGTTACTCGAAAGAGACTCTAAATACTGCGTCCGACGGTGAACTTGGTGGTGAAGCGGTCATGGTATGGGGGCAAGAGACTCTCTTTGTTATAGTATATTTAATCTTGTTTTTGTGAGCCATGGCAAGAAGTTCACCGGGTCCATTGGTCTTCTCAACTTCCGACTTGATGCCCAGCGCTTTACAAGACGCTACAAGACGATCCTGGAGAACAAATTTCTTCCTTTTGCGACCGCCAAAATGGGACAAGGATGGCTCCTCTACCAGGACAACGCTCTTTGCCACAAGAGTCAGTTGCTTATGGGCCACACTATTCGACTTGCCAATGGAGGAAGTGTTCGACTACTCGGATGGTTCCGCGCGAATCGTGTTCAACTCGTTTCAGCTTCTCCATACAGCCCCGATTTGGATGTTATTGGACACCTATGGGCGTTTATCAAGACGCGAAACTCAAGGGAAGACGGTTTAGCTCTAAGGCGGATCTTGGTACCTTACGTACGGTGAGTTTGAGAGTGACAATTGCGCCACGAAATTTTACGCGATCTAGTTCCACGGTATGCCCCGAGGCTCCCAAGCAATCATTGCAGCCAAAGGCGGACCTACAAAATATTGATTTTTCGCCTCTATGTATGTGCCGCCAAGACTTTTGTCCATTGTTTTGTGACCTTTTTGTCTTTGACGCTTATTTTGTTGTCTAAAATAAACTTTCGAGTTCAATGCTTGGTCATAGCTAAAAGTAGAGTAAAAAATGCTCAAAAATACTTGTGACAACTTTTTTATAGCCTCTCGGGAAGGTTCCTAAATTTACGTTTGAAAGTTGCCACCCAGGACCCGCCAAGACTTTTGTCCATGACTGTAGTACCCACCCCCCTCGTACAGTCGGGTAGTCGCAAAAGTTTTTAGTATTTCATTTTTTGCAAAGCATCCGTACTTCCAAAACATGTGTCTTTGTTATCAAAAAAATAGCTGAAATTCAGTGGTACTGTTTTGATACCTAAAGCAACGCATTGTAGCATAAACCAGTGTCGAGAAAAACACGTTCAAAGCTAGACTACGCAACGCTCCGCACCGTCATTATGGGGGTGGGGTACTATTACAGTATTTCGCGTAGTTAACTAATGATATTTAACTTAAAACCTAAGTAAAAACGGACCTAATTATGCCAGAATTCTATCAGAATGAAATTTTTCTTTTTTCTTCTTACTTAAAACAACGAAATAGACGCATTTTTGAATGCGTCAGGAGTAGAATGTGCACAAAATCAATCAGAGCTGGACCAGGAATAGTTAAATGTGATAAACTTGGATATGCAACCGTTTTGAGCTACAAGTGTCCTCGTGCAACTTGTTTTACTAAACATTTGTCAGAACTGTTTGCCAAAAGTCGATTTGTAACTTTTCAACGGTTTCCTTTTTTCTGTTTCCACCACTACCTTAAATTCCATAGATAAGAGCGGTTTAAAGTGGCTAAACTCTCAAAACTTTACCAACAAAGTTGTCCACTTCAAACCTGAGCCATTTTACTCAACAACAAGACAAAGTCGATACGTCAAACCAAGTACGATACGTCAAACCACCTGACCTTCGTCAGTAGTTAATTCGTGAACTCCGTTGACCCGTGAGAACACTTCAAAACCCCAGCAAACTCAGCCGAAACTTTTCTCCGAATTCAAGCACATTAGGAAGTTTTTCTCCCGTTTACCTCTCAATTAAATTAGCGGTCAGTCACAAATTTTCGGAACACTTTTTTTGGGATAGCTTTGAGAGTGTACCCCTCGATCCTAATGGAATCGCAAAAAGAGTTTTCTAAGTTTTTTGGTGCTCTCAAAAAGAGGGAAATATTTTGGGGAAAAGGAGGTTCGGGAAAAGTTTCGGTTATCTTTGGGATTTTGAGAGAGTCGAGGTCATTCATGGAAATCAAGGAAAAGAAAAGGGATAAACTCACTTTTTGGCGATATTTGACAGTTCGAAAGATTCTAAAGTAACTCATTTTTTTCGTTTGAAAGCTTTGAGTAGATTTCCGGGAATTTGGAATTTGAAAACATTTGTTATTGATGGGATTGGAAAAGGATCTTGTTGTTGTTATTTGTGGTGGTGATTGGTGAAGCGGTCAAGTTGCCAGATGGGTGGACGATAAGAGAAACGAATGAGGTGAGTTGAATGGAAGGAGTTGTGTGATGATTGGCCATTTGAGCCTCAGAGACATGTAAGTCATCTTCAGAGACATCAAGATTTAAAGATTGATTTACCATTTCATCTAGTTCTTTGAAAGATATCAGTCTTTGTCAAAAGAATTAGACCAAAGTACCCCAAAATATTAGGAAAGTAGGCTCTCGCGTAGTTTTCGGGTATCTTGAACAGGTCGGCATGCTTTGAAGGTCGATAACTTTGTGTAGAAATCATATTTTTCTTAACCTTTTATATCATTGGATAGAGAACGTTTTAGGCTTTTAAATGATACCAACAGAGCTTATCTGTTTGCAGTCCAAGAAAACCAGGCGACACAACATAGGGAAGAATAGGGGTATTTTGAACGGCTCCGCCACACTTTGGAAACCCTATAACTTTGTCCAGAGACAACATTTTTGCTAACTTTTCATATCATTGTACAGAGAACATTTCAGGCTTTCCAGATCATATCAAATAAAGCTTAATTGGTTAATCCAGTCCAAGAAAACAAGGCGATAAGGCACCCGAGTTGGATAGGCCTCATTTGTCGAAGTCGGCTCTGATTTTCTTAGACTGGATTATCTAATTAAGCTCTAATTGGTATCATAGAAAGCCTGAAATGTCCTCTATACAATGATATAAAAAGTTAGCAAAAATATTATCTCTGGACAAAGTTATCGACCTTCAAAGCATGCTGACCCGTTCAAGATACCCGGATTTTTCCAAAATACCCGGGAAACTACGCAAGAACCAAAAGTACATCTTTCATCCAAAACAGAAAACGTTTATCTTCATTTGTAACTGATTCTGTAACTAATTGCACCAACTACAGTAACCCAGTTCAAAAATTAGCTTTCTGACCAGCTTTTTGTCAGTTTTGTCAGTCAGACCACTTTACAAAACTTTTGTTCATCTTTCCAAACTTTCCAGGTGATCTCCGAGCTCTCAAAGAATTGCCCAGTGACATCAAAAGTTTGGTGAAACTTGAGGAGAAGCTCACTGACTTAATCACACTTTCCTCTATGGGTCAATTCCTCGATTTTACATGCAGGTACAGTTTGGCCAAAAAACTGGCCAAAAAACTAAACTGGCCAAAGAAAAAAACACTTTCTACGGCACTTACAATTAGCTTTTCTTGCATTCACATACAATTAGAGCTCCGAAAATAATAAGAAAACACTTGCAGGCAGTTGCTGATATTTCAAAGAAACATCCGAATGAAATGGCGCAACTCAAGCCGAAGAAAAGCACACATTTGGAGGAAACTTACAAAAGCAATGCCACAGAAGCGAAACTCTCGATCCTCAAGCATGTGGTGGGTTTAGAAAGTTGGAAAAATAGAAAAACATATCTAAACACTTAGTTTACTTTCTTAGTTTACTGAAATCGTTTTTCGAGCTTTAGAAAATGTAAAGAATGGCACAGCTACCACGCGCCGTAACTCAAACTAGTCAATCTTTACAATCAATACGCGTTCAAGCGTTGCAAAGATCACTCTTCATCAACTGGAATTGCAATTAGATCTATCCTATGAGTTTAAACGCTGGGTTACGGTAGCTAGAGTAGGCTTGGGAGTCGACGTTGAAAAAGGCTCAAGAGTTACTTTGAGTTTGACTTTAGCAACTGAATGTTGCCTGTTGTAAATAGTGGGTAATGCAAGATCGCAGATAAATAGCAAGATATACTCTCTATAAAGATATGCAAGAAACCAAGAATAAATATCTTTATATAGAAATATACAGAAAACACAGAAAATCATTATGTAGAAGCAAAAATCAGATCTTTAACCATCGTTTGTGTTAGAAGATTGTTTGGAAAACATAATTCGATTCAAGTTCGATTCAAGAAAAAAACATTATAGAGAAACGCAACTTAGAACTATTTTCCCAAAAAATATCGTTATAAGGGAAAATCTTTTATGTAAAAGCTTGTAGGTTAGCATTTTATTAAACGTTTGCTGGGACTCAGAGAAGCCAGAACTCAGAGAAGCCTCGAGGGCTCACAAAGCCTCAGGCAAGGCTAAAAAAGCCTCAAGGGCTCAAGGGCTCACAAAAGCCTCAAGGGCTCAAGGGCTCACAAAAAGCCTCAAGGGCTCAAGAAAAGGGCTCACCAAAAGCCTCAAGGGCTCAAGGGCTCACAAAGCCTCATGGGCTCAAGGCTCACAAAAGCCTCATGGGCCTCAAGGCTCACAAAAGCCTCATGGGCTCACAAAGACCGTTATATAAAGTTCACGTTTTGTTGAACGTTTGTTATAAAGAAGTTCGACTGTAAGCTCGTAGCTGTAGCTGCGACTGTAACTGTTAAAATAATGTTAAAATAGTTAAAGCCTTACTACCAAATACTTACTTTTACCTTTTCTCAAAGTATCGAACTTCTAGGTGAATATTGTCAACATCACATTGGCCAATATTGAAGAAGATGAGATTTTGACAGTCCGAAGCCATTTATTCGAGACCGCTGATATTGTTGATGGAAATGAGGTGAAAAGAAAAAAGCGTCAAAAGCTTTAGTTTCTAATATTTTCAGATCCTCGACTACAACTTCATCTTCTCGCCCGTTTACACCTCAAAACTCACCTCATTGCCTCGAAAAGTCTTGGAATTTTTCGACACTTTCATCAAGCTGACTACAAGGAGAAATTGAAAACGGTTTTTTTCAAATGATTTTTCATTAATTTTGAAAGTTGCATAAATTTAGGAAAACTTGAAGAGCTTCGGAAATTCGCCGAATAGCCTGAAGGCGTTGAGCGATTTCGAGGCGGCGCTTGACGGGGATTTCACCGAGTTGAAAAATGAGAAGTTCTTGTATCCACAAAATGTGGGTTAGCCGAAAAGGAATCTAGATCTGGATCTGGATCTAGAATCTATTCTATTCAGTAATCTTGAATCTATTCATTTATTGTATTTATTGGGTTGGTGAATTGAAAACTGCCGGCTATTGTCATATGTGACAGTTTGAGGACTTTCTTCCAAAAGAAACCCATTTTGGTGTCAATGGAAAAGTTGTAGAGAATCAAAATCAAGCTTATATCCAAATTTTCAGAACGATTCAAAAACTGGTTTTCAAGAAATGCCAAATTTACGTTGCCAAATGAAATTTTTCACAAAACTTGCATTTTAAGCAAAACTACTAAGTGTGTCTTTTTGGAAATTTGGCTATAAGCCTAATTTTTGATTCTCTACAACTTTTCTATTGACACCAAAATGGGTTTCTTTTGAAGAAAGTGCTCAAACTCTCTATCGGACATCTCCAGTCCTCCATTTTGAGTCTCACACTTGTCTCACACACAAACCAAATCAGACCAAACCAATCCTACTACGAAAGAGGAATCCGCAATGAATCTCTGAAGAAGAATAGGCCCTCCAAGTCAAAGATCGTTCTCCTCCACGACAACGCGCGCCCTCATGTTGTAAAACTGACTCCCCCTAAAATAAATAGCCTTGTTTGGGAACTTTTGTCGCATCCCCAGTCCGAACAGTTTACAGTTTACAGTCCGAACCTCGCCCCTTTTGATTACTATTTATTCCGGACCATGAGTAATGAGCTTGCGGGAGAACACTTCGATTCGGAAGAAGCAGTCAAAAATTGGCTCGAAAAGTTTTTCGATTCAAAACCAAAATCCTACTACGAAAGAGGAATCCGCAAATTGCCTGTAAAATGGGCAGAAGTCGTCAATAATAATGGAATATTTGGAATGAATTCATGGCTTTATGTTGAATAAATTTTAGTTCAGAGTCCCGCAGTTTTCAATTCACCAACCCAATACATTGAAAATTTCAAAATTTCAGTTAACATATCCGTTGATTGTGTTGAAGTTGGCGCATTTGGCTCCACGCGACGAGATCGCGAACTCGACGGCGCTCTTTGCAAAGATGCCCGAAGAGGAGAAAGACTTTGATGAGGTAAATGGTATAGTATGCTATAGTAATTAACAACGGCTATGATAATTAACAATCAATCGATCGGATTTCAGTTGAAAAATGACCTCAACGAGCTCCTCCCCAAATCACTTCCACTCATCGAAAAATTACGGCAACAATTCGAGAGTCAAGCCAAGAAATTACTCGATGAAATCAGTGGAACGCTGGAAAAAGTGAATTTTACAGAAAACTAAAGCTTGAAATGTTTAGCCGTGTTTTGTTAATGAATTTCGTCCATTTTTGAATCCATTCAATATAAGGGAATATCCGTTTTTGAACCGTTTAACCTATATTTTAACAATCTCCAAACTTTACTACTAAATCTAGACATGGCTAACGATATTTTAGACTCGAAGCTAGACATGGCTAACGATATTTTAGGGTTGCTCCCGTTCAGACAGTCATATCGGCGCACGGAAAGTCGCTAGTAATTTGAAACTTTTTTTATTAGAAAGCCAATGCTATTAGCTTCATTTTGATACAAAAAATTTGGCAAACTCCTTTGAATAGTACTCAAAAATCACATTAAACTTTCAAATTACTACTCTGAATGAGGCCTCGTTAAGGCCTCGTTAAGTATCGATAACCCTTTTAGAGTACTTTTTGAAGATTTTTGTTGAATGTTTGAGATCAAAATGAAGCTGATAATCTAGGCTTTCTGATAGAAAAAAGTTTCAGATTTCTAGCAATTTTCAGTGAGCTGATACTGTGGGTTGAACTCAACATAACTTCCTTCTAAGTCAGCCAATCTTTATGATTTTGGTTTCCTTTTGTAGATCTCAATAAGTGCAACAAAATGAAACGAAAATTATAAAGATTGGCTGACTTAGAAGCGAGTTATGGCGAGTTGCGCAAACGACCCAGTTGCGCAAAAAAATTTGCGGAAATTAGCCTACCCCAAAATCATTTTTACATTGGAAGCGAATTTCCCACCAAATCAGTTAAAAGGCTGAGTATCTTTAAAAAGAGTCGTATATAATGCGGGGCTCGTGATTTTTGCGTCATTTTTTGCAATAATTTTTGCTAAAAGTACGGTGATTTTTTTCCCAAATGTGCGTTTTAAAAAACGCATTACTCTCGAGGAACACACACTATTCTATGCGCTTTTGTATCAAATTAAAGTAGAGAGGATGAGTGGGGTTTTTTAAAATAAAACACATCTTTTAGCCTTAATTTAGCCTTAATCAATGCTTAGAAAGAAAAATGATGAAAAATCGGCTTTTTGTATTTTCTCTTTAGTCCCGTGCTTCGGTGAAAGGAAAAGACGGAAACATTGGAGAAATTGCTGACAAAAGTGAATGGGGAATACACGGAGAAACTCGATGAATTGCAAAAAAAACTCACGTGGCATGTGAAGAAAAATGTGTATTCGGATGTAAGTGATGGAATTGTTGAAGTAAAGATAAAATGTGATGGGTTTTTTCAGAAAAGCGAAGTCATCCTTTAGACGTCCGCTATTTCAAATCCCCTTTTATAAGGCGCGATTTCCTTTTTGATTCGGAATTCTCATCGGAATCTTTTTGTAGCCCCATTTGCTAGATGGATTAGAACGAGTTATCAGTTTCCCATTTGTGAAATTGACTGTCATAGCTTCCAAGATCATCATCACTTAGAAATTCACTAAAAGATTCCGTGGCTGAGTTACGATAAGTAAGCTGAGTTACGATAAGTAGCCCTGAGTTACGTTACGATAAGTAAGCTGAGTTATGATACGATAAGTAGCCTGAGTTACGATACGATAAGTAGGCTGAGTTACGATAAGTAAACTGAGTTACGATACGATAAGTAAGCTGAGTTACGATACGATAAATAGGCTGAGTTACGATAAGTAGGCTGAGTTACGATAAGTAGGCTGAGTTACGATACGATAAATAGGCTGAGTTACGATAAGTAGGCTGAGTTACGATAAGTGAATGCAAATGAGGGCGAGTCACGCGAGTTTTTCACTCTTTATTTGCCAGTTAAGCCGACTTTACTGTGAAAAAAACAGTAGTACTGCTTAATCTGGTGTATGAAAGAAAATTTATCCAATTGAGTCAGAGATTTTCACTGTTTTCCCAAGATTTACTTGATTTCCAGTGCCTTGAACTTCTCTCAAAAACCCCCGAATCCGAGTACAACAACTTGCACAAATTCGTCGGTGTGTTGGCTCGATTCGCCGCACGACAACAGTTGAGAAAGGTGAGCAAAAATGGCTCAAGAATTTGCCCTCGAACTTTACAGTAGACTTTTACAGTAGGACATCGGCGAGCGCAACATGCTATTAGGTTGGTAAAAAAGAAATGAGCGTCGTGTTTGTTGATTTGTATTTTATTTACAGTAAAAGATACGGCGTCGACAAAATTCCTCGACGACAACGCTCGGCCGCATGTCGCAAAATTCACTCAGCAGAAAATTGAAGAAATGGGCTGGGAAGTCCTGCCTCATCCGCCATACAGCCCAGACTTGGCACCTTCCGACTACCATCTGTTCCGATCAATGCACCACTCCTTGGCCGAGAAAAGTTCAAGAACCGCGACAAGGGCGACCAACCACTCGGTTTTTACCAACCACTCTCGACCTGGCAGAACAGTTCGGCTGCACTCATGTCACCATTGAGAACCATCTGCATGGCATGGGCAAGACGAATAGATGCGGAAAATGGGTACCGCATAAGCTATCCGACGCAAACAAGGCGACACGCATCGCAATCGCCGGAATTCCTCACTCACCGCGCCAAGAACAGTAGGGTTTTCGACTCCATTGTTACGTCGGATGAGAAGTGGATCCAATACGACAACACAGCAAGAAAGCGGCAGTGGTTGGACCCCGGTGAAGCTCCAAAACCGACTCCAAAACCGGACATCCACGGAAAAAAGGTGATGCTTTGTGTTTGGTGGAACAGTAAAGGCCTGGTGTACTTTGAGGTTCTGGATTCGGGTCAAACAGTTACGGCGAAGCTCTACCAAGGCCAATAGGACCGCGTGGACCAGGTGCTGCGACGTCAAGGTGTGGATAGCGGCGTCGACAAAATTCCTCCACGAGCACACTCGGTCGCATGTCGCAAAAATCACCCAGCAGAAAATTGAAGAAATGGGCTGGAAGTCCTGCCTTATCCCGCCATACAGCCCAGACTTGGCGCCTTCCGACTACCATCTGTTCCGATCAATGCACCACTCCTTGGCCGAGAAAAGTTCAAGGACCGCGACGAGGTCCAAATTTGGGTGTCCAACTTCTTCCGAGTCGCAGCCGGTCGAGTTCTTCAAGAAGGGCATCCATTCTCTGCGTGAACGTTGGCGACAAGTCATTGATGCAGATGGCGAATACCTTTTGGATTAATGTATTGTTATAATAATTGTTTCTTGTTTTTATAATAAAATAGACTTTTAACGAAAACGCGCATTTCTTTTTTACCAAACTAATAGAAAGATTTGAGTCTAATCGAAGCAATGTAGACCATTTGGTGCATTTTGGAGCAATGTAGACCAACTAAATGCAACCATTTTTAGTAAACAAATTCAACAAATCATTTCAGTCAAAGGATTTTTAGCCAACAAACTCATTCTAGGGTGGCTACCGTTTCTGGCAATCGTTCAAGACGACCGCTCCAAATCTTCAAGCTCTGACTGGAGCCGTGAAAGAGGCTTTCTCAAATGTCACCGCTGGTGTCCACAATGCGGCACAAGAAGTGAATTTTCTCGTTTAAGATGAGCTACGTGTGCTCACGTAGGGAACAAACCCTTTCTGGTGCACACAATATGCACACACAAAGTGCTTGGATACAAATTATCGTTAGCAAGTAAAGGATGACCAATAATTATTAGGTTCAGATAAAAAGCTTTGTAGGTAAACAGAGAGGAAACTTTTAACTTTAAAACTTTAGAGAGGAAAAATTTTAATTTTAAAATCTTTATTTGAAAGAAAAGAACAACAAATTAACGATTAAATTTGGAAACCAGTCACTTGAATTTGACCTACTTTGACTTTTTGCAAAATTCCTTTTAAAAGCCACAACTACATGAAATTTCATTAGACACGTGTTTCAGCGTTTTTTTAAAATAGGCGACGAGCGTAGTGCGCGCACAAACGGACAGAGGTTTTTTTATATAAAGAAGAGAAGTTTCTCAAAGAATCTCTATGTCCAAATTTGTTAGTTTTTAAGCATAAAGAACACATAGCAAGTCAAATTTATTCCTAGATAGTACTGTAAGTGTCCTTGTAGCCATTGAACATCAAATTCTTGAAAATTACCACCTGTTTAAGCATACCAATTTCAGTTGCTAACAGCCGCTCAGAAGAAAGTGTCCAACCAGGATTTCCTCGCATTCGCCACCAAAATCGACACCGTTTTGGAGGCAAAAATGACAAATTGACAAACATGCAATCGATGCAGGTTTGGCGAAAAAAAAACTCACTCAAAAATCGATCATATTAGGTACATTTGGCTTATCCAATCCCGATCCTCTTGATCATCAACGATCTCCCTCGACCCGAGTACGAATATTTCGAGAAGCAACGAGAAAAGCTCGCGAAGCATTAAATGTTTTGTACAAAGTTTAATAAAGTTTTAAAGATTTTGTTCTGTTTGGATAAAAGAATGGGAAACATATGGTGTTGTAGGTATTGTCGGTTCCCTGTAGTAAGCCATCTGGCCTCTAGGACTTGAATCAGGAAAAGCAAAGCAAGGCCAAAACCTAGCTAGAAACCAGGTCCAGACCTGGCTGAGGTACTTTGGTAGGCACAGGTACTTTTTGTATGACATGCCAGGCCAGGCCCGCAGCAAAGCTAGAGGCCAGGCCAAGCTCGCAACAAAGCTTGAAGCCAGGCCCGCAAAAAAGCTAGAGGCCAGGCCAGGCTCGCAACAAAGCTAGAAGCCAGACCCGCAACAAAGCTAGAGGCCAGGCCAGGCTCACAACAAAGCTAGAAGCCAGCCAGGCTTACTTTTGAGTTCTGCCCAATAGAGGAGCTAAAACTAGATAAAGATAAGAATTTATTGCTCACCATTTACAAAACCAAAGCAATCAACGAAAGCAATAACAAAGTAAATGAGAATCTCACACTTGTAACCGATTTCGTGGTCGTCGGGGATGATGAATCACCCGGATTTGCAGTATTTGTGGTTGTTGGGCCAGTGCCTGCAGTGGTTGTTGGGCCAGTGCCTGCAGTGGTTGTTGGGCCAGTGCCTGCAGTGGCTGGGGCCATTGTCGTTATTGTGCTTGTTGAGCCGGTTCCTATAGACAATCTTTACAAACGCTACAAGTCAAATGGTGTGCCAGAAAGGATCTTTACAAAGTGCCGAACAAGCCTAGTGTTCTTTTAGTCTCCAAAATTCCCTGCTAACCTGTGTATGGAGTATTTGTCGTAGTCGTAGTTGTCATAGTCGTCGTTGTAGGGCCAGTATTGGGTGTGGTGGTTGTAGTTGATTCTGTGTTGACTGTAGTTGCCGTAGTTGGTCCTGTGTTGGCTGTAGTTGGTCCAGTTCCCATTGTGGCCACTCGTAGTTGTTCCAAGACTCGCCGTCGAGATGGAAACGGTGGACGAGATCGGTGGAACAATGGTCGGTATGGTAGGTTGTGTGGAATTGTTTATGAAATACTAAAATTTCTTACATAAGTGTTAAAGAAAAAGATTCATACGGCAAGATTTTGCTCAATGAATAAACGAGCAGCCACAAGAGCTGGTGGTTCTCCATCGTAGATTGGGTACATATCGGAGCAGTGAGCCGTGCCTGAATCAGGAAACTATGGTACTGTAAACAAAGAACTATGGTAATGTAAATTGTTTCAATGAATAGGTAATTGCTTTTATTTTTAGCCCTTCATCCAGCTACAGTATTTCAATTTCAATTTCAATCAATTCAATGTTTCAAGAGTCTTAAAGTGAGAATTTTGTACATTTTCAGCCTTTTTAAAACGCCATTTTGTAGTCACACTTTTTCCCCGACTGAAGATGAATAACTGAATCTAACTGAAGATGCTGAAGAAATAACTGAAGATGCTGAAGAGATAACTAAAGCTGCTCTGTCTATTGATCAATACGCCAAATAAGCAATAGTGCTCAGCTTATCAGATGCACTTATTGTCAACTAGCATTGTTTCAACTGCTATCTTCCTATTAGGTTGAGTACTGTGTTCTACTATTAGAGAAAATACGGTATTCTGTATTTTCTCTAATTGTAGTGCCCTCTTCCCCCGGCCTCTCCTCCTCCCCCGGTCGAGCCGAGTTAATGACCATTTTACGACATCCAAAGTTTTCCCAGAAGCTCAATACTCAAATCCCTCACTAGATCTCATCGTCAGCTACATTTTCCGACCCCACATCGATAGGTTCTGATAAGCGGTTCTCGAGATTTCGAGCAATTTAGGCGACGCTCAGGGTGCACTAGAGAGGAAACGGTAGTAGAATTCAAAACTTACCATTGATCAAGTATGGAGCCACTCCATTTGCCGCATCGACTGTGTAAGTACCAAGAGCATGCCATGGATCGAGTGATCCATTCGGGAGTACGATATTTGTTGCCTGAATTGTTTAAACTTTAGCTCTTCATCCTTTGTCTTTCTGGTGCATCTTTTCTGGTGCATTCTTGTGCATTTACTTCAATACTTTGATATTAAAGTGTTCAAAATAAGTACACCAGATAGGATGTGTTTGCGTGGGTGTGTGTATGTTTGTTTGTTTGCTTGTTTCTGCAAACAAAAGAGTACATCAAAGTGGAGCTTGTTTAAGGAAAAACCACCTCACTAGCGAATTGATAGAAATTTTCAGCATCAATGTTTTTGTCGCGTACAAAATCCGAAGTGACCGCCGAGCCGAAAAGATCCGTGCACATGTCGAGGAAATAGCTTGAAAAAAAATAGAAATCTTTTAGGTTTATGTTTTTTTCGAAAACTTTAACGGAACAGTTGCTCCGAAAATGTTCCTTCCTTGATCGGTTGTCTGAAGGAAACCGATCTCATTGCAACACAGCCACATCCAGCCACGATCAGCTCCTAAAAAGGTTTTCAATAAGGTTAGCTTCCTTAAGCCTAGCTTCCTTAAGCCTAGCTTCCTTAAGCCTAGCTTCCTTAAGCCTAGCTTCCTTAAGCCTAGCTTCCTTAAGCCTAGCTTCCTTAAGCCTAGCTTCCTTAAGCCTAGCTTCCTTAAGCCTAGCTTCCTTAAGCCTAGCTTCCTAAGCCTAGCTTCCTTAAGCCCTAGCTTCCTTAAGCCTAGCTTCCTTAAGCCCTAGCTTCCTTAAGCCTAGCTTCCTTAAGCCTAGCTTCCTTAAGCCTAGCTTCCTTAAGCCCTAGCTTCCTTAAGCCTAGCTTCCTTAAGCCTAGCTTCCTTAAGCCTAGCTTCCTTAAGCCTAGCTTCCTTAAGCCTAGCTTCCTTAAGCCCTAGCTTCCTTAAGCCTAGCTTCCCTAAGCCTAGCTTCCTTAAGCCTAGCTTCCTTAAGCCTAGCTTCCTTAAGCCTAGCTTCCTTAAGCCTAGCTTCCTTAAGCCTAGCTTCCTTAAGCCTAGCTTCCTTAAGCTTAGCTTCCCTTAAGCTTAGCTTCCTTAAGCTTATTTTCAATAGCTTCAAGAAGGCCACTTGCACGAATTGCATGTCAATTTGGGGAAATTAGCATTCTCGTTTGTCTATTTCAGTACATTAGAAATCTCTCTACAATGTCGCGCGCTCGTACGCGTATATAAGCGCGCCACCTTCTTGCTTTTCATCAGTGAAACTGCCGAAATCTAATAAGACACCAGAAATACCGTAGCCTAAACAATGTCGCCCATAAGCGTATAAAAGGACGCCACCTTTCTCATTGAATCAGGATTTTTCCTCATTTTGTCTCGTGAAACTTGGGTTCTTTTGTTCGAGTTATTTGAGTTTGAGATATTTGAGTTTTCAAAGTGATTCCTTTTTAATCTCTAGTTCAAAACATTGTTTCTTTGAGGTTTCTTGAAATATTTTCACACGCTCTAGCTTACATTTATTGAATAAACTTGGTTTTGTTAGTCATTAAAGCGCACACAGTCATTCAAGCTAGATAGCTACCGTACTATTACAGTACTATTACAGTATTTACGGTACGTGTAGTGAATTCATGAGAAAGCACACTAGTAATATAGAACAAATTCGTTTTGATAATCCTCACCATTTTCGTCCATATCATTAACGTTCTTCATACTCATCGAACTAATCATATCCCAGTAACTGTTCGGGAAAATCGTGATGTCCGAGTCTGGATCTCCATAGAAACTCTGGTACCTAGGATCAGAGTTGTTATAAAGATAATTATTTCTCTTGCAAAGCCAAAAGCCAGCCAGCAGATTTGACTTGACAAGAAAATCGTGATGTCCGAGTATGGATCTCCATCCAGTCCAGCCTTCAGCCATGGCAAGAAGTCAGGGCTGAAGGCTGGACTTGTAAGTCCGGTTTCTGGCTGGACTCTGGCAGAGTTTGGCAGGGATCTGGCAGTGGCTTAGAGTCTGGTTGAAACAACCCTAGAATTGGAAAAGGAACAAGAACTAACTTCTTAACTTATTTTACTTTTACTTTATCATGATCTTTATCATAATCTTTATCATAATCTTTATCAGAATCATCCTTCAAAATTCAACAAACCATAACCAAACGTTGTAAGCTCTTTGAATCGGATCCGCGACACTTTGATTGGTCATCATATTGCATAAAGCCCTGGCTGTGATGTTCGTTTGAGTCATTTGAGACTGAAAGTTATATTAGTCGAATATTTGAATCAAATTTCTACCTGTCCATCATATGTGTACTGGATCATTCCCTGGAAAAGTGAGTAAACATTCGCCAGGAAATTCGTGATATCCAACTTGGTCGTTTCGGTGTCGAACTTGGGTTGCAAGCTGGAATAAACGGATTTTCAGAAAACTCGAATACCTTACTTCCAGATTGTGTTCAATGTTTCACGTCCAGCTGCGGAAAGACTCAATTTCTGCATTGCATCAAAAGCTTTCCGAATCTCTCCCGGACAAGTCGGATCAGTGATCGTCACGTCGTCTTCAACCACCATTGCGTATTCTGAAATGAGAGAATGATTGGGTAACTTCAGGCTTTGGTTTTTTCAAACATCTATAAGTTCAGGAAACTGTACACCGTCACAAAAGCGTACTCACCAACCGAAAAACCCCGCCTAACATCGCGTTTTATAGCTGTCGCTGTGGCATGATCGGGAGCGCGCTTGTTTCTATTGCCTTACAGCAACTACTTTACAGCAACTGCCTTACAGCAACTGCCTGTAAGTGTTGTCGAACTTCGCGCTGTGTCGTGACATTTGTTTTTTAAAAAAACGGGATGAATCAGGGTTTCCGAGAAAAAAAGTGGGCATCGGTTTGAGTCTGAAAAAATCTTCCCGTTGTTTTTTCAAGGCTCATCGTGATGTCAGGATTGGTTTTGCCTCAGGCGTCACACAACAAGATGGAGTTGATGATGATTTGATGATTTCGTGAATAGGAGGTCATGCATCGGCCGGGGAGCTCAAAATCCACGTAGAACACGAAATGAAAAATTTCTACACATGAAAAACACACTTCTGAATTCCTCTATTTCACCACAAAGCTTTCTACTTTTTGCCTCTATAAGTTTCTTTTGATATCTTGAAATCTTGGATCTAGGATCTTGAAAATAACCCCAAATAGACCCCAAAAATTCGGCCTTAGGAAAGCAGCAACAAGAGGGTTTTCTCGTTCAAAAATTAGCCATATTTTCAAGATTTTTGAAGCAGTCAATCCAAAAATCCAAACTGAAATGGCTAGAAACTTAAAAGAACAAAGAAATTTTTAGAAATAAAAACTAGAAAGATTTGTGGTGAAATAGAGGAATTCAGAAGTGTGTTTTTCATGTTTTACGTGGATTTTGAGCTTTCCGGCCGATGCATGACCTCCTATTCACAAAATCATCAAACAAATCAACTCAACTCCATCTTGTTGTGTGACGCCTGAGGTCAAACCAATTCTGACACTACGATGAGCCTTGAAAAAACAATGGGAAAATTTTTCCAGATTTAAAGCGATGACCACTTTTTTTTGGGAAACCCCGTAGATAGAATTCTAAGCCTAACAAACTAAAGATCATGTAAATCGGCTCACGGGGAGCTGAAAACTTGCGCGTACGTCTGTACGTGTGACGGTCTGACGGACGGACGGTCTGACAGACATATGCAGGCAGACAGACACTCTTTTATCTATAGTAAACGAGCGAGAAACCTATAGCGCTTATAATTTCTATATATAATAGCTTTGTTAAGCCTCGCCTTCCTCGCCTTCCTATTTGGACTATATTTGGAGGTCGATTTCAATTATATAGAAATAGCTTTGTTAAAAAAAGCAAAAACTTCGACCGGCGGAGGATTCGAACCCTTGACCTCCGTAACTCGGTGCCAGCGCCCTAACCACCCGGCCATCGGGCTTTCCCCTCCTGGCCTTCCTATTTGGCCTGTATTTGGCGATCCTTTCAAATTTCAAAACATCTGGATTGCCGTGGAGATTTTCAAGAGTCTGATTTGATTTGGGGAAAGGTAGGCTTTCAATAATTTGAACGATTAGATCTTACCGTAAAAATCCAATTTCAAATTAACTGGAGCTGAGCTGGCGATCGCTCCAACAGTCAAATCGGGATATTTTGCTCTGAAGAAAGCCGACAACGATCCTGGACAACGATTTCATTTTTTTACTTTGACAAAAAGAATTCGATTCTCATTTTTCATTACATTAAATTGATTTACCCGGATAACTTCCACCAAATGTGACCCATCTTGGATTGCTGAAAGCATATTTCTTATTCATAGCCATGATGAAAGTGGCTAGATCGGCGAGGGGCTTGTTGGAGTGGTGCACAGTTTGAGGGCATCGTACTCCATACTTCTGCAAAAGAAAAACAGGCTTGAATTGCAAATGAGCGATTGCTAACAAATGTTAGTTGTTTTTTAGCGATTTGTTTTTAGCGATTTGTTTCTTGCGTTTAAAATCTCGTCTTTGATTAATTCTGATCTCACTTGATCGGCCAACTGTCTCCAAAGAATCGGTGCTCCAAACTGAAAACCATTGCCCCGTATTCGGCGGCCCATTTTAAATAGGAGACATCCGGATTGCCAGCCCATCGAATCGGCTCAGGACCCTCACCACCTGAATATCTTTTGTTAGGTGGTTTCTTTATTGTTAGGTGGTTTTGAGCATCTCAAAGTTCTACCAAAGCACCTCAACGTTCTACCAAAGCACCTCAAAGTTCTACTTTCATTTGCGACTCACCGATCATCAAGAAGATTAAACCTTTCCCATCGTAATACTTTTGATTGTGATAGTATTTCTAGAATTTTTTTTTGCTTTAAAATCTCTTTGAAATTACCTGTTGCCAAGTGGCTCTGCTCGTTTGATTGTAGTGATCGAGTTTTTGGGTGAAATACAGCGTTTCCACCCATGGATAGGGATTATCATCACCGACAAGCGAGTGCTGACCGCCAGTCGCATGATAGAAAGATGATCTGAAAGTCGAGAAATGAAAGAAGCTGATGCAATGTTTAGAAGTCTATCTACAACAATCATTTTCCTACCAGTAACGGGGTATCTTTATTTCCGTTCAAAGTTCTACAGTGAGAGTTCCAGAGAGTTTCCTCATTCCAGAGAGCATTAGCTCTACGGGTTAGCCGTGAGGGTTAGCCGTAAGGGTTAGCCGTAAGGGTTAGCCGTAAGGGTTAGCCCACAATTATAGCGCCTCATTCCAGAGAGTCGAGTCCAATCGAAAGCAGCCCAAGTAGGCTTTGAGCATAAATTCCAAGTATTCCTCGATACTCATTATCTAGCTGATTGAAGTTTTCAGCATTGTTATATCGTCTCTTAAAGTTAAGCATTTCCAGCTACGCATTTCAGCACTTCAGCCATCTTTAACCCAAGCCATCTTTGACCCAAGCCATCTTTGACCCAAGCCATCTTTGACCCAAGCCATCTTTGACCCAAGTCATCTTTAACCCAAGCCATCTTTAACCCGAGCCATCTTTAACCCAAGCCATCTTTGAACCAAGCCATCTTTGAGCCAAGCCATCTTTGGCCCAAGCCAAGCTTAGTTTTTACAGCTTTTGAATTGTTTATAGTAATTTCAGCATGTTAAAACGATAGCTTTTTTATAAAAATAGAACTATTTTAGAGTTTTTTTTTGCACCAGATAAAAGTTACCTCTTTTTTCTTTTCAATGCTTTCAATCGTCAAGTTAAACCAAATCACTCTTCTTACTCTTTTAAATAAATTCTATTACCTTTCTAACAGATAATATTGTCTAAGTTGTCCAAAAGATACAAAAAATGTCTAAAAAACGATGTCCAACTAGTTTCCGACAATACAAAAGCACTAAACTCAATGAACAAGTAAATCGAAATGCTTAACTTTAAGAGACGATATTGCAATGCCAAAAAAAACTCGAATCGACTAGATAATAAACATCGCTAAATATTCAAATTTTATTTCAAAAATTAAGCCCAATTGGGCTGCTTTCGGTTGGAGTCGACTCTCTAGAATGAGGCGCTATAATTGTGGGCTAACCAAAGGCAGCAGTTTTGGCTGCTGCAGAATGAATAACTTAAATGGCAAAATTTGAAATAAAGCTCTTGATCTTGAGCTTGATCTTCAGCTTGATCTTCAGCTTGATCTTGCGCTGGATCTTCAGCTTGATCTTGCGCTGGATCTTGAGCTTGATCTTGAGCTTGATCTTTCGTTTTTATTACCTCAACTGTCCACCGGGTGGTCGTCCAAGCAAAAACGGGGGACGATGCTTTCCACGGGGAAATATCAATGGAGTGGCCGAGATTGAGCCGATAAAAAGGGCCAACACCAGAGTGTTTCTCATTCAACCCAAGATCTATTCATATGATTTGATGTAGTGATAAAAATACAGAATGGCTGAGAAGTTCTGTTCACATTACAGTTACGGTTACAGTAAAAAACTGAAGTTGATAGCTTGGACTACAAAATTTCCTGAATTTCGACTAAAAATAGTCGAAATTCAGGAAATTCAACTATTTTTATTCTATGCTTGTTTTTGCAAGGGATTTGCAAGTTTGACAAGCCCATTTTAATGCTCTAATCTTTTAATGCTTTAATCTAACAGAGTTTGTCTTTAATTTGTCTATGTTTACTTTGTTTTTTTACAAGGAAGAGTGTTTAGAAAATGTCGGACCAAAAATTTCGCTTGCGGGCCTGCTCGTGGCACGAATTTAAGCAAGGCAAATAGGCTGCTGAAGCTCATAGCGCTCTATCTCAAGTGTTTGACGAAGATGCTCTATCCGAAAGTCAGTGTAAACGATGATTCCAGCCAATCTAACTTTAATCTAATCTAGCAGTTACATGAATTTCTTTGATTGACTTGACTAACAATGTTTGAGGCTCTCGAAATCGGTGATTTCAAGAGCAATCTAGCTGTGTAGGGTAAGGTTTTAAAGAAAAATGTTTCTTCTTTCTGGTAAGCTATGTAAATTTGCTTTTAAGAGCTCTAAAACTGTTTTAGAGAACAAATTGTCAAAAGCTGATCTGCGATCAAATAGAAATTGCTATTGATTCACAAGAAATAAAGCTTTAAAAGTTTTGCGATCAATTTTAACGTCGCTTTAAGCTGAATTGCTGAATTGCTTGTTGAATTGCTTAGAGTAGAGCATAAAATTGGGTATTTATAAAAGCTAGAGCTTCTTTATATCTTTTTTTCTTTATATCAACTTCTTTACATATCAATGGGAACAGAACTTTTCAGCCATAAGCACATTGAAAGTTAAATGTTGCATTGGAAACATTTGAGACTGTTTTTATGATTTGATTTGATTTTTTGAGTTAGCTTTAGATGGAAGTATTTTAGAGTTTGCGATAATGTTAATGTTAACTTTCTAAGTTTTTTGCAGCTTTTTAAAATGAGATCTAAAGAAGATTATAACTAGACGAGATCAAAACTAAACAAGATTATAACTAGACAAGATTATAACTAAACAAGTTCTTAACTAAACAAGATCTTAAATAAACAAGATCAAAACTAAACAAGCTCCTAACTAAACGAGGTCATAACTAAACAAGATCATAACTAAACAAGATCATAACTAAACAAGATCATAACTAATCAAGATCATAACTAGACAAGATTATAACTAAACAAGATCATAACTAAACAAGATTATAACTAGACAAGCTTCTAAATAAACGAGGTCATAACTAAACGAGGTCATAACTAAACAAGATCATAACTAATCAAGATCATAACTAGACAAGATTATAACTAAACAAGATCTAAAAAAAAAAAAAAAAAAAAAAACCCCCCAAAAAAACGAGGTCATAACTAATCAAGATCATAACTAGACAAGATCAAAAACTAAGTCAGTAAGAACAAAGTCATCAAAGTGATCAAGGCTATAAAAAGCTCTTTTCAAAAAACTCTAATCCAATCAATATCAGAAATCCAAATAAATTAAAGAATTTTCATAGTAAATGTAGAAAAATGACGTTGCTTCCAGCAAAGAATTAGGTGTAGGGCGCCTTTCAGAATAAGCTTATCACAATTTCTTTTCTTTCTCTTCTTTCTTTCTTTTCTTTCTTTTCTTTCTTTTCTTTCTTTTCTTTCTCTTCTTTCTTTCTTTTCTTTCTTTTCTTCCTCTTTTCTCTCCAAAAATGGACTCATTTTTTTCTTTCCCAAAAGTAGTAGACAGAAATTGATTGTCAATGGCTCGCTAAGCGCCTTTTCAAGGCAATCCTTGCTGGCGATTGAAAAATTAGAAGATTTTTGGTGTATAGAATAGAAATTTTTGGTGTGTAGAATAAATTCGAAGGGTTTTGATGTAAATTTTAGTAGATACACTGGTTTAGGAAACTATTCTTAACGCAAAAATCATGGTGATGAGGTGGATGGTGTGCTCTTCTTATTTAAAAAGCACCCACTCTAGAAAACTAAGCACTTAACTAAGCAAATCGATAGCTTACATTCGATTGTCGCAATTTTAATGTCATTAAAGGATTGCTCATTAAATGATTGCTCATTAAGTGATTGCTCATTAAATGATTGCTCATTAAGTGATTGCTCATTAAATGATATCAAGATTGCGCCGAATGGAATTGCCATTTACGAGAGCCTTCGCTTTGTGCTAGTCTTTTGACTACGGTATTTTTCTATAAAAGGTGCTTTTTAGAAGAACAATGGTTCTGCTTTTTGGTTCGGGATGGTTTAGGCAAGTTAAGTCAGCGTCAGATTAAGACTCAGGTAAAGACAAAAGCTACAAGAAATATGATTTCAATTTAACTTCTTCCAAAGAAAAAAAGAACAATAAAGTTTTCTATTCTGATCATTGAATTTCAGGTTCTAATCGGCCTTACATCGTTGCCAAGTATTTCCAGCTGCAGCTTGTATCACAGCAGAATCCCAATGAGGATTTATTATCTTATCAAGGTCCTGTTATTACACGCATTATGCCAGACGGCTGCCAGACGTTGCCAGACGTTGCCAGATGTTGCCAGGCTGTTACCAGACGTTGCCAAACGGTGCCAGACGTTGCCAGGCTGTTGCCAAACGTTGCCAGACGTTGCCAGGCTGTTGCCAAACTTTGCCAGGCTGCGAAAAGGATGACGTTTGCATGGTTTTTTTAACTTGAGCATCTTCGCACTTGAATTTCTAACTTGCGACTCTAAATTGCGAGGGTTTTGATAAAGTTTACCTCTACGGTGTGACAATCAATGATCCAAATGCGGTCGATGATTGCGTAAAGGTCTACGTTTTCTATGATTGAAAGCAAGAGCAAGCAAGTCATTGGTGAAATTAGAGTGTTTTCCTTGCGAGTAAGTGATTACTCGAGTAGAATTTGCGTGAGTAATTTCGGGACGATTGCGATTGCGATTGAGATTGCGCCGAATGGAATTGCCATTTACGAGGGCTTTCGCTTTGGCATCAAAATGTAGCAAGAGCAAGCAAGTCATCGGCAAGTCTGGCATCAAAATGTAGCCATTTAATTGGGCTACACGATCGTATAAAAAACTTTCAGATAAACTGTTGTCTAGTACAAGAAAAACGGCCGACTGTATATCGAAATGCTAACGGCGACGTACCGTCTTTTGTATGGGTGTGTAGCGTTGGTGCTCTCACTTTGCGGCCATTTTTCTTCTGCTAAACAACAGTTTTTCTAAGTTTTTTTTATACCATCGTGTAGCCCAATTAAAGGGTTACATTTTGATGCCAGACTCGCCGAAAGCGAAGGCCCTGGTAAGGAATCGAACTCGAGTAAAAATGTAGCGTTCGTTTTGTATGCAAGCCTTTTATCCACTCTAATCACGTCTAATCATCGTCTGATCACCTTCTAATCACGTTTGGAATCGATGAGAGAAACCTTATAAAGACATCCCTGTTCGCCTCTAATTTTTGCATTTTCGCATTTTCACCTTAAAACGTAAAGCACGTGTAACTTTTTATAGGAAACCATTTTGCAAAAACCGAAAGCAGATTCGAAATCAGCGTGAAATTCTGCGTCGAATGGTTTATAGCTTAGCTCATTTGACCACATCCTACTATTGCTTTCCCCTTATAAGTTAGCAAATGATGCCAGGCTTGATTGATTGATTTGATTGATTGATCCGTCACTCAAAAAGTGCTTAATTTGACTGTTCAATGATTTGATTTGACTCAATTTGGCTGCTCAATTTGTTCTTTATAATAAAATTTCAGTTATTCTATTGATTCTTTTATTGTTAATTGTTTATATGAAAGAAAAAAATTCGTTTATTGCTTCAAAAGAATCAAAATGACATCAATGGGGAAGAGATCACAAAAAAGAGATCAAAATTTTGGGAGAGATTGGAGAGAGATTGGAGGGAGATTGGAGAGAGATTGGAGAGGGATTGGAGAGGGATTGGAGAGAGATTGGAGAGAGATTGGAGAGAGATTGGAGAGAGATTGGAGAGAGATTGGAGAGAGATTGGAGAGAGATTGGAGAGAGATTGGAGAGATTGAAGAGAGATTGGAGAGAGATCGAAGAGAGATTGGAGAGGGATTGGAGAGAGATTGGAGAGGGATTGGAGAGAGATTGAAGAGAGATCAAAGGAGAAAAAAAACACTGAAGACTATTCAAAAACCCGTATCGATTTGTGGAGAGGAAAAGCTGAAAGAAGGGGATAAAGCTGAACGAGATTTTTACAATTTAAAGTCTCATTTGGGCAATTTGTTGTGCAAGTACGCGGGCCATTTCCACGTGATCCCTCGTGGGGTCCGTTTCATTTAGTCTGAAAATAAGAGAAAGGGAAATTTGCATGAAATGAATTTGCATAAAATAAATTAGCATAAAACAAATTTGCATAAAAGTTAGAAATTAGAAATTCGGAAATCAGCTGGCCCACACATTGAGCAGGAAATGGGCAAAACATGCTAAAAAGGCGGGAAATGAGGATTTTTTCGGTTTTTAGCTGAATTTCTTTAATTTTGTTATGTTTTAAAAGATATTCAGTCAAAAGAGAGTTTCCCCTTTTAAACTTTGTATTCCCGGCGACTCGAAAAAGTTGGTAATTCGAAAACCTACCGTAATCCTCTTTCAGACTTTTTTCTTCTGTTTTATTTGATTTTGATCTCACTCATTGGTATAAAATTTATACCAATCGACAGAGAAAGACTAGGCGCATTAAATGATACAAAAAGTATTCAAATTGGACAACCCAAAAGCCAAGAAATTTTAGCTCAAAGTTGGAGCGCCAATGGCAAAAGGGGTCATTGGCAACCCAACTTTGAACTCAAATTTCTTGGTGTTGAGCTGTCCAATTTAGATAGTTTTTGTACCAATCGACAGAGAAAGACTAGGCGCATTAAATAATACCAAAATTATTCAAATCGAACAACCCAAAGTCAAGAAATTTTAGCTCAAAGTTGGAGCGCCAATGACAAAGGAGGCGTCCTGACCTGGCTTCTGGCTCTGCTTGAACTGTGCTGGCTTAGTAGATTTAGTCCACAAAAAGTATCTGGGCTTGTCAGAAGCCAGGCTTAGATCTAGCTTAGACCAAATAGTCAGGCTTATTTGGTCAAACCGGTTATCGGGCCTTTTATCCGCGCCCCGCCCCTTTTGCCCCATTAGCACTCCAACTTTGAACTTAAATTGCTCGGCTTTGGTTTACTCAATTGAAATAGTTTTTATACCAATCAAAATTTGATTCCACATCGAATAAGATCAAAATTAAGCCTGTCAATGAAAACTAAAGGAAAAATTACTGTAGTTTATCCAAGAGAAGAAGAAATGTCAAGACTTTGAAGGTCTTGACTTTGAAGGTTCAAAGACTTAGTCAGACTTAGGCAGACTTAGTTTGACCTAGACAGACTTAGTGAGACTTAGGCAGACTTGGTCGGACTTAGTTTGACTTAGACAGACTTAGTGAGACTTAGGCAGACTTGATCGGACTTAGTCAGACTTAGTCAGACTTAGACAGACTTAGGTGGACTTAGTTTGACTTAGGCAGACCTAGGCAAACTTAGTTTGACTTAGTCGGACTTAGTTTGGCTTAGACAGACTTAGTCAAACTTTGTCAGACTTAGTCAGACTTTGTCAGACTTAGGCAGACTTTGTCAGACTTAGGCAGACTTAGACTTAGTCAAAAAGACTTTACAAGAAGACTACGGTAGACTGAATACCTTCAAAGTTGAGGCTGATGAGTGTCTTAAACACTGTCTTAAAAGATTTCCAACTGAATATCTTTTAATCTACCGAAAACCCTTCATTTCCCATCCCGATCCAATAAATTTCTATTCAAAAATTCAAAAAAACTCTATTTAACATGCACATGTTTTGACAAGAAAAAAATGTTAATTTTTCACATGCTTGTACTGTAAATGAAGCATTAAATAAAGAATCTTGAATTCTTGAATGAAAATCAATCTAAAAGATTCATTCATTCATTTCAAGAACCTTTTAAACCTTATCCATCTACAGTACTCAAAAAACAGTGACATCTCAGCTCGACAAAGCTCGACAAATCAGACAAATATCTCGACATCTTGCTGATCGCCGACAAGCGCATTAAACTCTTGACGAATCTCGTGAATTTGGAGAGAAGCCGACGAGACGGACATTCCAGAACCACGGCGGGATGAGGAAATCCCTTGAGGACCGTTCGATGAAGGGAGAGAGATCCGGCTGATGATCTCAGAGGAGGAACGACGAAGGGAATCATCCGAAGAACGTCTGAAATTAAACTGGCTTTGAAAAGCAAAGATTTTATATGATTTGGCGCACTACACTTGAACAAAAGCCACTCAAGCTTGATTTATGTATTTTCTGTGATTGATTTGTGTATTTCACTTGAACAACTTTCTCAAAAAGGTATCAACTTTCTTGATCATCGTAATCTTGCTTTTCATTTTGAACTCAATCTATCAACTTTTTGTATCTTTTGGTCAGCTTTTGGTCAGTTCTAGAACCTACGGTTTGCTTGAGCTTGAGCTTGAGCTTGATATTAGCTTGAGCTTGATATTAGCTTGAGCTTGATATTAGCTTGAGCTTGATATTAGCTTGAGCTTGATTATTAGCTTGAGCTTGATGCAGAAATGACTAGCCATCTTTCTGATTTCCTTTTGAACCAGCTATCTTTCTTGAGCTTGAATTGACTTGAGCTTGAGCTTGATTTTAGCTTGAGCTTGAGCTTGATATTAGCTTGAGCTTGAGCTTGATATTAGCTTGAGCTTGGGCTTCATCTTGAGCTTGATATTTGCTTGAGTACTAAGCCTTTCACCAAAATTGATTCTCTAATTGAATAACTCTCAAAATACCAAATAAAATAGAGTATCTTCATCAAATAACCCAATCATTTCTCTTGCAAATCACTTTTGAAAGTTTTTGAAAAGCTTTGTTTTGATGGTTTTGATGGTTTTTCATTAGCTAGAGTTATGACGGTAGCTTTTGAACAGTGCCACATTTTAGAAAAACATCTAATGGAACGTAAGCTAAAGTTTAGTTGAAGTTTAGTTGAAGTTTAGTTGAAGTTTCGAGTTAACCTTGGCTCAAATTATCTTTCTAGGTGATCAATTAACGAGCTCTAATAGAGCTAATAGATCAAAAAGTGTTTTAAAAGATTGAAAAAGTGTTTTAGAAGATCAAAAAGTGTTTAAATAGATCAAAAAGTGTTTTAGAAGATCAAAAGCTTTTTAATAGATCAAAAAAAAAGAACTAGCTCATACAGAAAGCAGTTTTGCACTGAAATCCATCAAAAACCTCTAGGCTATGCTCTAGCTTTGATCAAATGATTGATGAGTTGAATTCTTCAATGGATAAATCTATATTCTATTGCTATTCGATTGCTATTTCTATTCTATTGCTATAGTTCTTATGTTTTTATCATTTTCGCAACTTCCTTATTTACCAAAAAGGTAGCATTCATTCCCCAATCATCCCCAAATTCTCTCTTTGATACACTACTGGAAAATGAAATATCATATTTGAAAAACGATCGTCACTTTCGCGCGTCTGTAACTCCCCTTGTCTTTACCGTATTTCTAAATATTAATATTACCATTGTGTAGCCCTTGAAAAGAGCTTTCAGAAAATGTATAACACTAATAGTTTAAACTCAAAGACAAGGGAGTTACAGACGCGCGAAAGTGACGATCGTTTTTTAAATATCATATTTCATTGTCCAGTACTGTACCTATTTGGGGATGAATGGCGAATGAATGGGGAATGAATGGGGAATGAATTGCTTTCAATTGCTTTCAATTGAGTTTTGTTATCCCCTCAAATCGTGTTATCAAAGTTATCCTATCATCAAAGTTATCCTATTATCAAAGTCCCCATCTTATTAATCGAAAATCTCTTCCAAAGTGATGGAAAAATCACTAAAATCTTTCCCTTTTTCCCCATTTTTCTCAATCTCAAATAACGTCACATCTTTCCCCCCTCAATCACTCATTCCATTTCAGCCATTTCAGCCATTTCAATCTTCTCAATTGCGTGTAAGATTCTCAATGAATTGCCTCTTACTCACCATGAATTCAGAATTTATGAAATTTCTAAAAAGCTAGACGATTTTACACTGAAATTCAATGAAAAATCGAGTGATTTTTAAAGCTTTCTTTAGAGGTTTCTTTTGAGCTTTGTTTAGAGCTTTCTTTAGAGCTTTCTTTAGAGCTTTCTTTAGAGCTTTCTTTTGAGCTTTATTTAGAGCTTTCTTTAGAGCTTTCTTTAGAGCTTTCTTTAGAGCTTTGTTTAGATCTTTCTTTAGAGCTTTCTTTAGAGCTTTCTTTTGAGCTTTCTTTTGAGCTTTCTTTAGACGATAACAAAGAACGATCAACAGTTGTTTTAGACGATAACAAAGAGCGATCAAGAAACGTTTACAAACATTTTAAGTCTAAGTTTAACTTTTAAGTTTAGGACATTTGATTGTGGCTTGGCTCTTTTTGCCATTGTCAATCTAACTTTAAGCTCAAATTTCTTGATGTTGGGCTGTTTAATTTAAACAATTTTTATATCAATCGACAGAGGAAGACTTGGCGCATTTAATGATACCAAGAACACTCAAATTGGACATCCCAACACCAAGATATTTGACCTCAAAGTTTTTAAGCCAGTTTTTCGCCAGTTTTTAACCTGTCTTTTTATCTTAGATCTAAGAGTAAAATCTTGACTTTTTACCTTGTGCAAAAGATCTTTAGGGGATTTGTTGTAAGAAGAAAATCACTATTTGATATCTATTTGATACCCATTTGGTAAAACCTGAAATAAATAGCTTGGAAACGTGTTCACCTTATTAACTTTTTTTTGAGTGGACAGATTTTAATGAAACTTTGAATTTTTCTTAGTTGGATAGCATATAAAAATTGGTATTGATCAGATTTTTAGGAAATTGGTTTGTAGATTTGTTGTGCAACATGGTGCTGATCTATTGATCTTTGCCTACTTGGGTTTAACGAAGAATTACAACGAAGCATATGGCTCTAATGGCCTTAGCATATGGTTTAACAAAGCATATGGCTACACTTGTGAACAAGCAAGCCATGTGATTCATCAATGAAATCAAAGTTAGACTAAGTTAAATGATTAGAAAATAGATTCCTTTTAGAAAAGGACCTTTAGAAAAGAAAACTGATTGAAAGGATTATGAAAGGAACGTTCTGCTTCAATAATTAACAAGCTTTGGCATCAATTTTTGCTTTATATCCATCTTTATATGCTTTATACCCAAAATAAACCAATAATGTGCTTATTAATGGGAAAAAGAGTGCTCACTTTTCCCTTTCCACCCTTGAATTCACCTGAAAGTCGTCTGTCCTCCAGTTGTAATCGATATCCTTGCCGGTGAGAGTCTCGATATTTCATCGATAATTATCTCCGGTTTTGGCATCGATTGTTTTCGATTGTGCAACAGTCTGAATAAAAGGGGTAAGCGAATGAAAAATGTGAGGAGGAAAACAGCAAAAAAAAAATGAGGAGAAGAACAATTAGGACAATTCATTTCAGAAAAAAAAGGGATTTAGCCTTGACAATAAGCCATTCAAGCAAGCACATGCAAGAAATTGAGGGAGATGGGGAAAGGCTTGGTGAATAGCTGAATATCTTTTGAAAGGAGGGATTCTTTCATAATAAAAGTTTCTTTAATAATAGTTTCTTTAATAATAGTTTCTTTAATGATAAAAGATTCCTTAATAAGGCCAAGGATTACAGAATGCTTAAATTGAAAGCTTAAATTCAGTTAGAAGATGCAAACGAGACTATGAGCCTTGCGCTGCGAGCCTTGCGCTGCGAGCCTTGCGCTGCGAGCCTTGCGCTGCGAGCCTTGCGCTGCGTGAGCCTTGCGCTGCGAGCCTTGCGCTGCGAGCCTTGCGCTGCGAGCCTTGCGCTGCGAGCCTTGCGCTGCGAGCCTTGCGCTGCGAGCCTTGCGCTGCGAGCCTTGCGCTGCGAGCCTTGCGCTGCGAGCCTTGCGCTGCGAGCCTTGCGCTGCGAGCCTTGCATCGCGAATTTTACCTCACAATTTGAAGCTGCAAGGTTTACGCTTTAAATTTTAAGCTGCAAGTTTTACGCTTCAAATTTTACGCTTCAAATTTTACGCTGCAAATTTTACGCCACGAGTTTTACGCCGCAAGTTTTAAGCTGCAAATTTTACCTCACAATTTGAAGCTGCAAGCTTTACGCCATAAATTCTACGCCACAAATTTTACGCTGCAAGTTTTACACCGCGTAACTTGCGTCACTAGCCAAAAACAAAATAAAATTAGACGATATTCTTTTTCTTTATTCTGCTATGTATAAAATGCTTCAGAGTTCTACCAAGATTTTCCTGATAACTATATTGAAAAACTATATTGAAAAGCTTATCAACGCAAAGCTTATCAACGATGATGAGTGCTTGTGGACTCATCATTGTTTGGGTATTTTGGGCTGGAAATAGAAACGCACCCTTTCTTGTCGCACTTGATCTTCTCACTCAACTTTCGCATAGTTTTGCGAAAAGAAAAATGAAGTATCGAGTGCGCCAGAGAAGCGTTTACAAAAGCACAAAATACAACAAACCAGTTTCCCTTCAGGGCCCCTTTTCAGGGCCCCCTCAGGGCCTCAGCGCTTGGCACACTAGATTTAAAAGTAAAACCCGATTAGTTTTTAATTTAATCTCAAAATTTGCCCAAGTTTTCTTTGATATTCAGCTTTCCAACCAACATTTCCCCCATTGATTTTTGTTATTTCTTTTGATAGTTCCATTCCATCCCAAGCCATTCAAAGCTATTTCATTCATTCATTCATTTCCCATTTCCATTATATAATTTCTTTCATTTTACCTCTTCAGCACTAGGCCTTGAACATCAATACTAATGGACTCGGAACTAGAAAAATCGAATAAGCAATCAAATAATTCAATTTAAGCTTTTCTAAAAAGATTTTAGGATATTTGATTGCGGCAATTGGCTAATTACCTTTTGCCATTGGCTAATTACCTTTTGCCATTGGCCAATTGCCTTTTGCCATTGGCCAATTGCCTTTTGCCATTGGCCAATTGCCTTTTGCCATCGGCCAATTGCCTTTGCCATTGGCAATCGAACTTTAAGCTCAAATTTCTTGCTGTTGGGCTGTTTAATTTAACCCATTCGAAACTTCTGCAGCGAATAATCGCTGCAGAAGTCAGGAAGGAACTCAGGAACGGACCGCTTGAGCTAGGTTTCGAAGAATAGATTCAAATTTTGCTCTTGACATAATATGGGATATGTGGGAAAATCCTCCTAATCCAAGCCTGCTACTCCAAAAGTCATTCGTGACTACGACTCCTTGGTAATTTGACGATTCCCATTTGAAGATACAGAACCAAGAAGAGCTTGAAAGATTTTGCATCGAAATCCTGCCAGTTTGTTTTCCTTTTTTCATGTTTATTAGATTCGCCTACTAACGTATTGATTAATTTGTCGTCGATAAAATATGAATAATAATCGATAGGATCTTTTTCGCAGACGAAAAAAAGAAAAAAACGCTGCGGTTTCGAATGGGTTAAACAATTTTTATATCAATCGACAGAGAAAGACTTAGCGCATCTGATGATACCAAAAGTATTTAAATTGAACAACTGAACACCAAGAAATTCGAGCTCAAAGTTGCCAATGGGAAAATGCCAATGAAAAGGGGCGGGGCGGGTATAAAAGGTCGCCTCGCTCCTGGCCATTGGCAATTTCTTTAAAGCTCAAAGAACTCGGTGCTGGGCGGTCCAATTTAATTAGTTTTTATATCAATCGATAGAGAAAGACTTGGTGCATCTGATGATACCAAGAATATGTAAATTGGACAACCCAAAGCCAAGAAATTTTAGCTTAAAGTTTGCCAATGGGAAAAGGGGCGGGGCCACAATCAAATGCCCGATAACCTTTCAAACTGCAATGACTAAACGAACTAACGTCTTTCAAGAAAGCACTTTTTACCTAGAATTGGTTTTCCGGATTGGAGCTGATAAATGGAAATATTTTTGAGTTGAATCTAAGTTAACGATCTCATTTTAATCTAAGTTTTCGATGTTTTTAAGTTAAAGAATTGCGAAATCGTGTAAACTCGTGTAAACTCGTGTAAACTCGTGTAAACGTCCAGCGTCTGGTGCACCGAAATCAAAGATTGCTTTTGGGAATTCAGTGCACTAGATGGTGAATGTTTAGAGAGTTTGACATGATTGAGTTAACATGATTGAGCGTTTTCTCATGATCATGAAAGAATATTGAGTGCTTTGGGGGATAGAAAGTGATTTCCACAGCACGAATGCCTTGAAATCTTCATCTTCATCTTGATTTCTTTTCTTTTTTTCTTTTCTTTTTTCTTTTAAAACCAACCCGCATGAGCTAGCCCTTCTCAACGGACTCTTTTTCGTTATCCGATGAAATGCCCCACATCCACAATATTTCATTCCACCACGTTGCGACGAGTCGTTATTGTTCGCATTCTTCGCTGGCAACATCCACGTTTTCTCCTTTAGTCTTCGTGATCGACGAAAGCCGACAAGGCGACGGAAAGAGTGACGGAATTTCTGAAAGAAAAGAAAATAAACAAAAATTGGATTATGGTTGGGTTTGTTTTATGTAGCATTGTCAAAGGTTGCTAAAATGAATCATTTAGCTTTTCCATATCCTTTGAATTAAGAGTCTTGTGGTCGAAGAACCTTATTGGGCATGATTTTTTAAAATCTATATTTCAAGAATGAATGGATCTCATTGAAAACGGTTTCAATTGTAATGGCATTGGATCGGCTATTACTTATTTATTCATTTTGTTCTGGTGAAAATGAGACGCTACTGACAGTTTTGATGCCTTGAACAAAATTTGAGAAAAATGACCTTATCCTCTTATGCAAATGTATTGGGTTGGTGAATTGAAAACTGCCGGACTTTGAACTAAAATTTATTCAACATAAAGCCATGAATTCATTCCAAATATTCCATTATTATAATTCCATTATTATTGACGACTTCTGCTCATTTTACAGGCAATTTGGGCCCTCATGGTGTATTGGCTAAGTTCTCACTTCCAAACTGAGGGTGTGGGGTTCGGCCCCCCTAGGGTTCTCTTCCCTAGCCCGTGCGCCCAGACTAGAGGTCTCTTCTCTAGAGCTGACTAGAGATCCCTTCTCTAGCGGAGTTCACTCTTCCACTGGGTTGGCCCATTCATGGCTTGAGGTTATTAAAGCAAGAAGCCTATCTTCTATCTATCTTCTTTTCTCCCCGCCTCCACATCGCCGAGTAAAAATATCTCATCTTTCTCTATGTATTTATGTGTAGATTTGTGTATTGTCTGACTGATTACGCTTTATTTCATGTCCTGAATAAAGTATGAATATAATTTGCGGATTCCTCTTTCGTAGTAGGATTTTGGTTTTGAATCGAAAAACTTTTCGAGCCAATTTTTGACTGCTTCTTCCGAATCGAAGTGTTCTCCCGCAAGCTCATGGTCCGGAATAAATAGCAATCAAAAGGGGCGAGGTTCGGACTGTATGGGGATGCGTCAAAAGTTCCCAACCAAGGCTGTTTATTTTAGAGCGAGTCAGTTTTGCAACATGAGGGCGCGCGTTGTCGTGGAGGAGAACGATCTTTGACTTGAAGGGCCTATTCTTCTTTAGGGATTCATTGCGGATTCCTCTTTCGTAGTTGGTTTGGTTTGGTTTGATTTTGGTTTGTGTGTGAGACAAGTGTGAGACTCAAAAATGGAGGACTGGAGATGTTCAAAAATGGAGGGCCCAAAAATGGGTTCAAAACCAGTTTGAGCACTTTCTTCAAAAGAAACCCATTTTGGTGTCAATAGAAAAGTTGTAGAGAATCAAAAATTAGGCTTAGAGCCAAATTTCCAAAAAGATACACTTAGTAGTTTCGCTTAAAATACAAGTTTTGTGAAAATTTTCATTTGGCAACGTAAATTTGGCATTTCTTCAAAACCAGTTTTTGAATCGTTCTGAAAATTTGGATATAAGCTTGATTTTTGATTCTCTACAACTTTTTCATTGACACCAAAATGGGTTTCTTTTGAAGAAAGTCCTCAAACTGTCATTTATCACAATAGCTGACAGTTTTCAATTCACCAACCCAATAGCCTACTAGACTATTAGACTTCAATAGCCTTTGAAGTCTAGTAGATATTTTCCTTTCTAGTAACTAGTAGATCAAAGCCAAGAAACAACTAAATCACTCACTTGATTGATCGCTGAATAGATGAAAAAGTTGAGTGACGAATTTAGATATCCCAAAGCGGTGAACCAATGAAACCAATATTCCAAATCAGTTGACCAATCCTCTCGAATTAATTTGTAGATCTTTACCATATTCAATGTGAAGAAAGGAAGCCAACAAACGAGGAAAACGACTAAAATTTTGGAAATGAATAGATTGAGAAATGAAACTACCCATGACAGTGGCGACAAGTTTTGTTGCTCGTGTCTCTCGCCGAATCGCCATTCCTTGCTTGCTTTTCAGTTTTGCTAGCAAGTCGAGGGCCCAATCCTGTAGGGATTTGAATTTTTTTTACGTAAACTTTCTTTCTTTCTTACTTTACTTTATTACTAATGATCGTGTTCTGATCTTCAAGTAGGGTTATGAAAAGCCGGATATTTCCTTCTCTTTCTTTCTTTCTCTTCCCCTCTTTCTTCCTTTCTCTTCCCCTCTTTCTTCTCTGGCAAAAAGGTACCGGATAGCCTAGTGGTTAGAGTACCGGATAGCCTTGTGGTTAGAGTACCGGATAGCCTAGTGGTTAGATAACCGGATAACCTAGTAGTTAGAGTACCGGATAGCCTAATGGTTAGAGCAAAAGGTCGAGGGTCCAAACCACAATCCGGAAATCTGCCAATTCCTTCACTTCTTTATTACTAATCAATCAGATCATACATCCAAAAGATTTTGAGTTTATAATTTGCTACTAGATCGACTGACTGTGAATAATCAACTTATAAGAATAAATTGACAATTCTAATACTAAATTCTTATACATTTGTATACAGTCTTGTATTCAATCAAAGATCAAGGGTTCAATTAAAGATCAATGGTTCAATCCCCTCTTCCCAAATCTTTTTCTTCCCAATTCCTTCACTTCTTTATTACTGCTAGGCTTATACCGAGATCTGGAAGCTTTCCCTGGGGCTTGGCTTTCTCTGGAGCTTGGCTTTCCCTGGGGTTTGGCTTTCCTTGGGGCTTGGCTTTCCCTGGGGCTTGGCTTTCCCTGGAGCTTGGTTTTCCCTGGAGCTTGGTTTTCCCTGGAGCTTGGCTTTCCCTGGAGCTTGGCTTTCCCTGGATCTTGGCTTTCCCTGGGGCTTGGCTTTTCCTGGGGCTTGGCTTTCCCTGGAGCTTGGCTTTCCCTGGGACTTGGCTTTCCCTGGGACTTGGCTTTCCCTGGGGCTTTTTCTAAGACTCTGTTGGAATCCCCCTGGTCAGGGTTATGAATGGAGCACCATAAACAAATCAAAGGTGTTCTAGATCTTGAAATCTTGACGTTTATGGTCAATGATTAGAATATTCCAATGATTAGAATATTCCGATTTCCTAGGCAAAACCCAGAATCTTTTGGGTTTTAGGAAAAACTGGCAATTAGCAAATAGCTGACCTTCAAGCCAGCCAGCTTCTTCCTCGCAATATACACGGATTCTCTTCTCGCAAAACTGTACATATGTGATAAAGAGGATCTGGATGGCCTTTCCCAATCAGAAATCATTTCCGACAATCGCCTCATCTTTCGCTTTTCCACCTAAAACAAAGATCAACTTATGCACTGATCAAAGCCATTTCGTGTCCCAACAAAAAAAAGCGTAATCGTAAGCCATCTGGCGCTATCAGCTTGTACAATAGCTGCAGCAGCTGCTACAATAGCTGCAGCAGCTGCTACAATAGCTGCAGCAGCTGCTACAATAGCTGCAGCAGCTGCTAAGCGATTAAGCTTTTTCTAGGAGAATACGCACAAACGCTTTCCCTCAAAAATTTCAAATTCCAAAATTATAGCATTTCAATGGATTTACGAGTTTATGCTTGAACTGAAAATGGTTGTGGAAAAGGAAAGAAAATTTTTGGCATCGCAATTTGGGCAAAACGGGGAGAAATTCTCAGGGACATGCTGCACCTCATCATCGAGAATTTTATGTGAATGAATCGATGAAGAATGTTGAGTCGGCACACTCAACGACACTTTCTGAATCGAGTTTTCAAGGCGATTTCTTCCTTTTCTTTTCTCAATAGTACGCAAATCTTTTAACTTTTTACCTTTTTTTTTAAGCTTTTACCTTTTTAATAGTTTCATAGATCGTTTTTCATTTGCATAAAGATCTGCATAAAGATCGACTTGCTTTTCAAGTGTAGGGACTAGGGAAAGGCACGAATTTAAGGTGAGCTTTTGTCTGGACACTTATTGAATCAGACACTTATTGAATCGGAAAACAAAAAAAGCATAATGTCGACTCAAGCTCAAAGCTTAAAGCTTAAAGCTCAAAGCTTAAAGCTCAAAGCTTAAAGCTCAAAGCTTAAAGCTTGAATAACCAATTCCCACTTTCCTAGCCGTTATAGTACTAGAAAATGTGAGAAGTTGCTCTAAAAGGAAAACGAAAACAAAAAGCTGCACAGGCAGCAGGAGCTTGAGCTTGAGCTGATCGGAGGAGAACTGATCCAGTGGGTGAAAGCTTAATGCGGTATCCACTAAGCGACCAATGTATCTTTTCTGTACTAGCATTCGTTTCGAAGCAAATTTTTGAGTTTTACACGCTTCGAAAGTCATTTGGCAGATTTTGATTTTAGATTCGGATTCCTCATTACCGTTTCTATAAGTGTCCAGACAAAAGCTCACATCGAATTCGTGCTTTTCCCTAGTTAAAGCTTAAAGCTTAAAGCTTAAAGCCCAAAAAGTAGAAACACAGCTCTTTTCGTGTACTTAATTCTTTGTTTTTTTAGCCTTGAGCCTTAGCTGTGCCTTGAGAATTGAATTGATTGCATCAGAAAGAGTGCGCTTCAATTTTAAGCATAAAGTATACAAATATGGTTCCAATATGTTTCCTTCCAAGAATATGATTCCAATATGGTTCCAATATGGTTCCAATATGGTTCCAATATGGTTCCAAGATGGTTCCAAGATGGTTCCAACATGGTTCCTTCCAAGAATATGGTTCCAACATGGTTCCAATATGGTTCCAATATGGTTCCAATATGTTTCCTTCCAAGAATATGGTTCCAACATGGTTCCAATATGGTTCCAATATGGTTCCAATATGTTTCCTTCCAAGAATATGGTTCCAACATGGTTCCAATATGGTTCCAATATGGTTCCAATATGGTTGCGATATGGTCCCTTCCAAGAATATGGTTCCAACATGGTTCCAATATGGTTCCAATATGGTTCCTTCCAAGAATATGGTTCCAACATGGTTCCAATATGGTTCCAATATGGTTCCAATATGTTTCCTTCCAAGAATATGGTTCCGATATGGTTCCGATATGGTTCCGATATGGTCCCTTCCAAGAATATGGTTCCAACATGGTTCCAACATGGTTCCAATATGGTTCCAAGATGGTTCCAAGATGGTTCTAATATGGTTCCAATATGTTTCCTTCCAAGAATATGGCTCCAATATGGCTCCGATATGGTACAGTATAGTGAAAGAGCTTTGAAAGAGATCACTTCAATCACTTCAACTCTATCATTGATTTGTGTACTTTGTGCTTGTAAAATAGAAACCCGCCCCTACTGATGCATGAAATTTAAGTCGTCTACTGGTGCATGAAATAACATTTAAGTCGAGAAGAAAAACGAAGAATTGAGTGTTCCAGAAAGTCTGTGTTTGTGTGTGTGTATGTTTCTTCTTTTTGAAATCACAAATGAAACTGACAGAAATTGAGCTCTACAGCTCTACAGCTCTACAGCTCTACAGCTCTACAGCTCTACAGCTCTACAGCTCTACAGCTCTACAGCTCTACAGCTCTACAGCTCTACAGCTCTACAGCTCTACAGCTCTACAGCTCTACAGCTCTACAGCTCTACAGCTCTACAGCTCAATGTAAAAACATTTTTTAAAAATGAAAAATCACCGCTCAAAAATCTCAAAATTGAAACGAAAACCAAGAACAGAATAAAACTGAATTTTTGTTTTTGATTTGAATCGAATCAATTTACAACACCACAAATTCGATTCTCACTCACCAATGGCGGCTTTAGTGTCGATTTTTCTTTCTCATTTCCCAATTGTTCTCCTTTTTCCATTGACTCTCTTCGAATTTGCTCGGAATGTCGTCTTTTTTGAGCGATTCCAAACGAGACTCCCTTTTTCGCGAAAGCACTTTTCCCCATTTGAACAGCGTCGGAAAAACGACGAGAGACACTGAAAAGGGCAATCGTTGACAACTATTGTACAGTTAAAGTTATCTTTCTCTACAGTAAACTGATAAATTCCTATAATCTACTATATATAAATGAGCAGTGTCTGTCTGTCTGTCTATCTGTCCGTCTGTCCGTCCGTCTGTTCGTCTGTCTGTCTGTCTGTCTGTCTGTCTATCTGTCTGTCTGTCTGTCCGTCTGTCTGTCTGTCTGTCTGTCTGTCTATCTGTCCGTCTGTCCGTCCGTCTGTTCGTCTGTCTGTCTGTCTGTCTGTCTATCTGTCTGTCTGTCCGTCCGTCTGTCTGTCCGTCTGTCTGTCGGTCTGTCTGTCTGCCTGTCTGTCTGTCCGCCTGTCTGTCCGTTTATCTGTCTATCCATCTGTCTGTCCATCTGTCTGTCCATCTGTCTGTCTGTCCGCCTGTCTGTCCGTTTATCTGTCTATCCATCTGTCTGTCCATCTGTCTGTCCATCTGTCTGTCTGTCAGTCTGTCTGTCCGCTTGTCTGTCCGCAGCTTTCATCTCGAGAACGGGAGAAGTTAGAGCTCCAAAAGCAACACTCTTATAGGTCTTCGGGGTCGGGGAGTTCCCTGTTGTGTTTGTGAGTGTTGCTTTTGGCTCTAGCTTCTCCCGTTCTCGAGATGAAAGCTGAAAGCAGTCTTTTCTGACAGGATTCCTGGTATAGTATAATAGCTTAACCGTTTAACACTCTTTCATTTCTATCACTTTCCACTTACTTCTTTGCATATGCTGGCCTGGGCACTTGTAACACGGGTCCACATGTGCTTTCCCGATCTCTTTCGATATCTTGTGGGGAAGAGAGACAGCTCGAGGAAGGACCTGGATTCAATGTTAAGTAGACATGGAGACTACAAACTATAAACGTAAATGCAACAACGCTTCAAAACTTACTTCAAATCTACGATTGTGACATGATCTATAACTCAAAAAATAAAGAATCTCAAGAGCTTTCGAAGCGACTAAAGCAAAATCAAAAACCTAATGCTAAAAGAAAGTTACAGTGGTTTGTAGAGTCCTGCCTCGAAACGGACCGTACTCGCGCGTAGTCGAAGCGATCGATTCAGGACTATAAACCACTGTAACTTTCTTTAGCATTGAGATTTTTGGGGTGTACTTTTAATCGAATCGAAAGCTCTTGTTATTCTTGATTTTTAAGCTATAGATCATGTCAATCAAGTGGATTTAAAGTAAAGGTTAGAAGCTTTTGTAGTGACTATGTCATTTTTGTTCGACAGTTCATCATTTTTCTTGTTTATAGTGACTATGTCTAATGTTAAGCAAATAAATTGATCTTTTTAATGCAATGATAAGAATTGTTGGATTATAATGATAATCCAACAATGATAAAATTGAATAATCCGTTTTTTTCAATCTTTTCAACCTTTCAAAAGTTTAGCTTCAAGAAATGGAAATAGAAATGGAAATTTTTTCGAAATTTTAAAGAAATCCAACAATTAATCAATGAAAATGAGGAGAGATTTGTAATTTTTTAAACTTTTAAAGTTACCTTTCGGTTTTCTATCTGTTTTCTTTCTTTTTGTCTTTCCATTTTCTTTCTATTTCTTTCTATTTCTTTCTATTTCTTTCTATTTCTTTCAATTTCTTTCCATTTTCTTTCTATTTCTTTCCATTTTCTTTCTATTTCTTTCTATTGTCAGCTCCGAGCCAAACTGATATTTTAGTTACTATTGTTATTATTGAATGATTTGTCTATTCTTATACAAATGTGTCCTCCCCTGTGCTTATCCCTTTTATTGCCGAGAAGGGGTGGTCCTTGGGATTGCCTAGGAGGACAGTGAGGAGCCTAGGAGGACAGTGAGGAGCCTAGGAGGACAGTGAGGAGCCTAGGAGGACAGTGAGGAGCCTAGGAGGACAGTGAGGAGCCTAGGAGGACAGTGAGGAGCCTAGAAGGACAAGGGAGACTCTCATTTGGAGTCCCCCTTCCCCTTACACTCATTTGTAATCGATTCGTCTTAGTGTACTACTGTAAATAAAGATACATATCTTCCGGGTCTATGCAACTGCAGTACAGTTGGTCATTTCACAGGGACTCCCCTCTAATACGTTGGAGGAGGTGGGTTGGGGTGTCGTCGGGGTTAGAGATGGCGGGATATCAAAAGGGATCCACTCTAACTCAAAAGGGATCCACTTTAACGTAACCCAAACCCTAGTCCACATCCGTTTATACCCAGGAACAAATACTATTTCCAATTTTCTATTTCTTTCTATTTCCAACCAACCGATGGCGGCCTATCTGGATCGTCCCCCATCGTCGAGTGCCTTCTTGACTTCCCGTTGATGACGGTTGGACTGCTTCCAGAATCGTTTGTAGCTGGAAATCTTCTTCATTTACGAGAATTCCCACACGATACTGTGGACTAGTGATGAAAAAGCTCAGCTCTTTTCTCCTCAAATCTCTTCAACCTCTTCAATCTCTCTCAAACCTGTTCCCCTCCTCGGAATCGTTGAGTGAACTAGCATGCTCAATCGCCGAATCCTCCTCGATTTTCCTCAGCAGCGGCTTCTCCCAGGTGATCATGTTGCGTTTTAGGCGGGAATACCTGAAGAGTTAAAATTCTTTCAGATTCTTTACTTCTTTCCGGAAAAATTCCGAATCTCGCCGGATTTCCGGACTCTATTAGCCCTCTTTAACCCAGAAAACATTGGAATTTCAAAGAAATCTTCTATAAATCTTTGCAAATATTGCAATTGTGCCAAGAATTGATTCATTCCTATCTTTGCAAAGAAATTTGGAATGGAATGCAAAGATTTGGGATTTGTCCGCCCCGGGATCGAACCAGGGACCTATCGAGCCCTGTTAGTTTCGTAGACAAACACCCTAAACAAATCGACACCCCTGGGAGAAGCCCCCGAATGAAACGGTTTTTTTTGTTGGTGATCCCAAATGGCGTAGTGGCTAAGGTGTATGTTTTCGAGCCCACACGATCCTGGTTCAATCCCGGCCTGAGCAGCCGAAGGCCCTGAGCAGGCCTGAGCAGCACGCTCTGGGAAAAGTTCCCGGCGGCCTCGGATCTTTAAGGCGGTACCTTTGATCTTTCCGGTAAAACGTCCATAGCTTTACTGGAAAGACCAAAGGTAAAGATCAAAGACGCACCGGAGCGTAGTATACGGGCTCGGGTTCTTCCAGAAACTAGTGTTAGCTACCAAATCTCCTCCCCGAATAGCTACCAAATCTCCCTCCCGATTTTCTGCCGCCCCGCCGCAATCCCGAGTGGCGTAGTGGCTAAGATGTATCTTTTGAAGCCCACACGTCTCTGGCTCGATCCCCGTCTAAGCAACTGAGTCTTTCAGAAAAGGGACAAACTGATGTGGGGTACCAGTAAAGGAATTGACAGTGTACAGGGTCCGAGAAAAGTATTGTCGCGTCTCTTTGAACTAACTTTTATGCGATTTGAAAGTATCCTTGTGTAAAACATGAACTTTGTTCAGTTTTTTTTCCTCTTTAGAATGGTGCATAGCATTCAATGTGTATTTTTTAGAAATGCAAGCTTGCCCTCATCGAGAAGCGATCGCTATTGTTTTTGAAAGCCGGAGAGTTGAAGGCGGTCATCTCAAAAGCAAAAGAAAGCTCAAAACCAACATCAAAACTGTTCAACGACTTGCCAAACAATTGCAAGAGAAAGGACACGTCAAGGAGAAGCGAAAAAAGAAAGACCTCGATCGGTGAACACGCCAAACATCCGGAAGCTCATCAAACAGCGAATTGACCAAAACGACGAGCGAAGCTTAGGAAAAATGGCCAAGGAGCTGAAAATCTCGGATTGGTCGGTTCGGAAAATTGTGAAAAAGGAGCTGGGACTTGTATTATGCACTAGAAAGGAGCTGGGACTAGAAATGCAAGCTTGCCCTCATCGAGAAGCGATCGCTCATCGAGAAGCGATGCTTTTGAAAGTCGGAGAGTCGAAGGCGGCCATCTCAAAAGCAAAAGAAAGCTCAAAACCAACATCAAAACTGTTCAACGACTTGCCAAACAATTGCAAGAGAAAGATATGATGATTGAAAAAACGACAATACTTTTCTCGTACCCTTTAGAAGTCTAATAAAAGAAAGTATATTCAGAAGACAAAACTTTTTAAACAAAGATAAGAAGAACAAAGATCAAAATATTGCACGAAAGTCTATTTGATTAATTTGTTTCCAATTTGTTTCCAATTTTCATTCAAATCACTCACCAATGACACTCTGCATGGCAGCTGTTGTGATATTTCCCACATCGGCGCCGAAGCCCAAGAATTGACCGCCAGCCATTTCCTGGAAAGTTTCTTGATGTGGATATTTCTCTTGATTTTCAAACTTGTAACTGAATTGCTCTCAGTCTTTTCCTCAATGTATAGAAAATATATCCATAAGTGATCAGCATTATTAAACAGGGAAGATAAAAGGCAAAGATGCTACTGCTCAACATGTAGATCGGATTGTAGATCCCACAATGGTGTTCAGTGAGTAAAAAATGACGGGTACGAGTGTTAAAGCCAGTACCTGAAAATGTTAAATCCGGGTATTTCCTGAAAATCTCATATTTTTTGTAGGGGAAATTTCTAAACAACAAAAACTTATGAGTCAAGTGCAACTTTTGCTAGAGTACACTAGGATTTTTGCTTGTATTTTGCTCGTATCTTGCTCGTATTTTGCTCCTATTTTGCTATTTCTTACCTAGTGGCAGTGCCATACAAATACTGAAGATCCACGTGATCGCTATCGAGAGATGAACACGTTTCCGATGTTTCGGCGTCTTGTACTCGGCCGGTTTTGTGGCAGCCACCAATCTTGAATGATTAGCTTTTACAAATTAAAGTACAGCTGAGAGCTTTGTTCTTGTTCTTGTTCTTGTTCTGGTTCTTGTTCTTGTTCTTGTTCTTGTTCTTGTTCTTGTTCTTGTTCTTGTTCTTGTTCTTGTTCTTGTTCTTGTTCTGGTTCTTGTTCTTGTTCTTGTTCTTGTTCTTGTTCTTGTTCTTGTTCTTGTTCTTGTTCTGGTTCCTGTCCTCTTATACATCATTCCATTCACCTGTCGATACTAATCAGCACCAAATGAACAATCGATGCCGTACTCGCGGCCACATCAACGACACAATAGAAATGACAGATGAATTGCGGGAGATGCCAGTGGAGGCCGTTCACCTGAAATTCATTCGATTTGATTCGATTTGATTTAATTTGATTTAATTTGATTAAATAATAGACATAATATTGGATCAAATAGACTCAAAAGTCCATTGGATCGACTTGTATCGGTTCTGTGAGTCCGATTCCATTCAAACACATTTCTAGTGGATAATTTAACCTTACAAGTCCTACAGTGTTTTCAGATTTTTAAACCAAATAAGAATTGTGCTTACAGTCTCTTTTTAAACATTGCTACTTTTTGCTAAATTGCTATTTATCTAGATTTCGAAAGGTTACAGGCAGGATTGCCAAAAAACCAAAATTCCTAGGCAAAGCCAAAGCCAACATAAAGATTTACACCAAGGTTTATTCGGCATGATAATCATAATTCGACACAAAATACTAGGCTAGATCTTAACTTAACCAACGTCTACATTCTTGGCGGCTCCCAAACCCCCAACTCTTATTGAACGATCTCTACAGGCTTTTCAAGAATTATGAGCTATTTTTCTCTAGTGTGTAGCTTTAGAGTTAACCATTCTCCATAAAGCTGCTAGAATTTACTGCTAATTTTCAACACTTTACTTCGGTAGTTTACTCAGAAACTTAAAATTAGCAATTCTATAGAATTGATTGATTCTTGAACTTGATTCTTGAAGATTCTTGAAGATTCTTGAAGATTCTTGAAGATTCTTGAAGATTCTTGAAGATTCTTGAAGATTCTTGAAGATTCTTGAACAATAGCTTGTTCTGACAGTGAGGAGAAGGCAAAGATGGCTGAATAAGCTTCTCTGGGCCAATCTCTGAGCCATAAACCGGGGGCGAGATTGAACCCGAGAACACTGGCGCTCCAGAGACAGAGACAGTCACACTGGCGCTCCAGAGACAGAGACAATCACACTGGCGTTGCGCCACCCCGGCACAGTCTGGTTAAGATTCCAAGATCAGCCTTTGACCATTACCATTGACCCTTTAAAAGCCTTTGACCATTACCTTTCAGTTCGTTAGCCGTAGCTTTTCGTTTTTGGGATCAATTCAGATCAATTCGCCTACTAACTCACCGATAAATAGATGCTAAACGGCATAACAAAAGCTCCAACGATCAAATCAGCCACCGCCAACGAAACCAATAAATGATTGGTGGGTGTTTGAAGTGATCGAGTTGTCCAAACCGCTGCAATGACCATACAATTGCCTGAAGTTTATTTTGATGAACCTTTTTAAAATTATCTTTTAAAGCCTTTTAAAATTATCTTTTTCACCCTTTTCCCTTTTCTCAATTGGTCCTTATTCAGCTGCAATTCGAGCCTCTATTCAACTCTTTTAGAGCTTCGAAATTTGCATAATAAACACGTCTGGGTTATTTTTGGCTTCATAACGTCATCAAGAGTTTAGACAAGAGCTATTTTTAGCTAGACAAGAGCTAGACAAGGCTGACAAGTGACAAGAGTTAAAGCGATCGTTACTAGCTCATAGTGACTATTAGAGAACTTTGAATGAATGAATGAATGAATCAATTGATTGATTGATCGTTTTGATTCTTTATCTTTCATCTTTATAGATAAGCTTTTCTTTTTCTTTTTTTATATTTTTTTTTTATACCTTTATCTATATCTTTATCTATATCTTTATCTATATCTTTATCTATATCTTTATCTATAATTTCTATATCTTTCTATATCTGCCCCCGTTGGTCCCTCTTAATCATTAATTCAATTCCGAAACCAACAGTAAGGAACCGAAGCCCTTTTCCATTATTCCATGCAAAAAACATTCAAGCGAAACGCTTGTTTTGAGCTTTCGAGCTCTTTTGAGCTGATTTATTCAGAGTAACTCTCGTCGGAGAACCGACGAATTTAACCCCGGATCCAGTATCACACAAAGGTGAACCGTATCCAAAGGCTCAGATCTAACTACGAGCTATAGATAAACTTTTCTCTTTATCTATATCTTTATCTATATCTTTATCTATATCGTTTTCTATATCGTTTTCTATATCTTTATCTATATCGTTTTCTATATCTTTATCTACAGTGCTCCAACTAATTATAGAGCCACTTACATTTTTTAAAACTCAGTAGCGACTTTGAAGAGAAATCAATTAAATTCAACTTTGGTCAGTAGAGAATTTTTGTACTGATCTTTTCTATTCATTTTTATTTAGAAGTTGCTAACCGTCGTGACGCTTTATCTTTAAATTCAAAAAAATGACACTTTTCCGCTCCAACTAATTATAGAGCCACTCCAAAAATATCAAGAAATGTTTATAAGGATAACAAGTAAACAGGTTAAATGACAAATCAATAATCAATAGCCTCACCATTAAGTTTTATAACCTGGAAAATTCGATTATCCCTGCTTGAAATGAGGTTCTCCATGATTTTTTGATCGATCGTATGCCAAGCATTAATAATCACCCTTTTCAATTCTCCAAGACCTGCGTATTGTCTGTTATTTTCGTAAATTCGACGTGCTAGTATTCCCCAAATGTTCTCCATCGGATTTATATCGGGCGAATTTGGCGGCCAATCAAGAAGTTGAATTTGGCGCCTCCGGAACCAGCCTCGAGTACTTTCACTAACGTGAATTGGCGCATTATCCTGCATGTAAATAAAATTTTGAGTGGAATTCTTGCGATAAAATGGCAACAGACATCGTCGGAGTATCCACTGATACCTTTCGGAATTGATTTTCTTTGGGACAAAAGCTAATTTGATCCTTCCAGTTGATGTGAAGCACCCCCAGACCATTACGCCTCCACCGCCAAAATTTCGTCGTGAAAAAAGCTTTGGTTCTTTTCGGATATCGTGCCAATATGCTTTGAAACCATCGCAACCATCAAGATTGAATTTTTTTTTTTCATCGCTCCAGATTACCTAAACTATGAAACGTAAGAAAAATTCAACTTGGTGCTTTTGCTAACCTTAGACCAATCCTGACGCATGTTTCTTTGACAAAATTTCAAACGTTTTTCTTTATTTTGAGCGGTTATCGTTGGAGCACGCCTCGCAATCCCAATTCTCGTTTGATTTGGCGACATGTAATTGTGCTGTTGGAAGCCGCTCGCCAAATTCGCCTTTTATCTTGGTCTGATACTTGCGGAATTCGTCCTTTTGATTTTCTAGTGCCATATATGGCTGGATCAGTAAGGTAACTATCAACGAGGTGATGCCTTCTACCCAAAAGTCGAGCAATTTCTCGATTACTCCTTCCAGCGTGGTTATATGCTTCGATCTGTCCTTTCTCGAAGTCGGAAAGCGTTTTACCTCTTGCCATAACTAAAAATAACTTAATAAAGTAAAGTCAATCGAATTATAAATAAATGGAAATGAAAAAAAAAAACAATTACAAACAAAAATCCGAGTGGCTCTATGTGGAGTGGCAGTTGCAGTTGGAGTGGCAGTTGTGGCAGTTGGAGCGGAAAAGTGTCATTTTTTTGAATTTAAAGATAAAGCGTCACGACGGTTAGCAACTTCTAAATAAAAATGAATAGAAAAGATCAGTACAAAAATTCTCTACTGACCAAAGTTGAATTTAATTGATTTCTCTTCAAAGTCGCTACTGAGTTTTAAAAAATGTAAGTGGCTCTATAATTAGTTGGAGCACTGTATTAGATAAATGCATAAGAAATGCGGATTTCAAGGGAAAATTGAGGTTTCAAGGGAAAATTGAGGTTTAACGCTTTGAGCTGAATTAAAGAGCTGAATTAAAGAGCTGAATTAAAGAGCTGAATTAAAGAGCCGAATTAAAGAGCTGAATTAAAGAGCTGAATTAAAGAGCCGAATTAAAGAGCTGAATTAAAGAGCCGAATTAAAGAGCTGAATTAAAGAGCTGAATTAAAGAGCTGAATTAAAACTCGAAATCATTTCGCAATGAAATTGGCTAATTTTGGAAATATTTGACAAAGTATCCAACTCATCTATTTGTATTTTGGATCAATCATTTCTGATCTAGACTTGGCTCTAACTTTATGTCAGTTTTACCCACAACAATGAGATCAACAATGAGATTTTGTCAATCAACAATGAGATCATGCGAGGATTTTGGGTACAAAATATGATGTTAGTCGTTTTGGTATCTAAGTTATGTATAAATGAAATGAAATTGAAATGTGAGTCCGTCCGTCTGTTTGTCAGACGTTTGTTTGTCTGTACTTTTTGCTTTAACAACGATTTGATCATTTGATAGCCTGAGATAATGGTTTTATGATGTGATAAAGGCTTTAAATAATAAGTATAAGTAAATAATATAAGTTATAAGTTAATATAAGTTAATCCTTCGTTATATACAATGCATTTATTAGGTACATGCATAAGAAACGCGGATTTTAACATTTTCATAAAATTTGCAACGATAGAAATAGAAATCGATATCGATGATCGATATCGATGATCGATATCTGATATCGATGAGTGTTAAAAACTCTTTGAAAGTTGTAAATCTCCTCTACAAAATAGGCTAAAATGTGTTTCAATTGATCGAAGCATTGAAGAGATTTCGAGGACGAAATACGAGTGACCAAAAGAAGGAATCGAGTCACTTTAGGGACAAGTTTAGTGGCGTCAAAATAGAGTTAGCTTCCCAAAATTGAAGATTTAAAGAAAAAAAGGATAACTATATATGAATTCATTAAAAAAGTCTAACGGAAATGTATTTACAGAAATTTAGATAGAGCGTAAGTACAAAACCCTCAAAATTGTCAAAAACACCGGCTTTTTCACCAAAGAAGAAAAATGATTGTAAAAAAAAAGTTTCCCCATGAAATGATCCCAACTCTTAATTATTTTGAATGATATTTTAGGGCGTTCATTCTCCACTATATAGTCAAAAGCGAACTCTTGTGAAAGTGGGGTTTGACGACACTAAACTTGTCCCTAAAGTGACTCGATTCCTTCTTTTGGTCACTCGCATTTGGCCCTCGAAATCTCTTCAATGCTTCGATCAATTGAAACACGTTTTAGCCTATTTTGTAGAGGAGATTTACAACTTTCAAATAGTTTATAACAAGTTTATTGTTTAAACAAGTTTACAACAAGTTTATAACAAGTTTAAACAAGTTTAAACAAGTTTATAACAAGTTTAAACAAGTTTAAACAAGTTTACAACAAGTTTAAACAAGTTTAAACATGTTTAAACAAGTTTAAACAAGTCTAAACAAGTTTACAACAAGTCTAAACAAGTTTACAACAAGTTTAAACAAGTTTACAACAAGTTTAAACAAGTCTAAACAAGTTTACAACAAGTTTAAACAAGTATAAACAAGTTTAAACAAGTTTAAACAAGTTTAAATAAGCTTAAACAAGTTTAAACAAGTTTAAATAAGCTTAAACAAGCTTAAACAAGTATAAACAAGTATAAACAAGTTTAAACAAGTTTACAACAAGTTGAAACAAGTTTACAACAAGTTTAAACAAGTTTACAACAAGTTTAAACAAGTTTAAACAAGTTTAAATAAGCTTAAACAAGTTTAAACAAGTTTAAATAAGCTTAAACAAGTTTAAACAAGTTTAAATAAGCTTAAACAAGCTTAAACAAGTATAAACAAGTATAAACAAGTTTAAACAAGTTTACAACAAGTTTAAACAAGTTTAAACAAGTTTAAACAAGTCTAAACAAGTCTAAACAAGCTTAAATAAGTTTAAACAAGTTTACAACAAGTTTAAACAAGTTTAAACAAGTTTAAACAAGTCTAAACAAGTCTAAACAAGTTTAAACAAGTTTACAACAAGTTGAAACAAGTTTACAACAAGTTTAAACAAGTTTACAACAAGTTTAAACAAGTTTACAACAAGTTTAAACAAGTTTAAACAAGTTTAAATAAGCTTAAACAAGCTTAAACAAGTATAAACAAGTATAAACAAGTTTAAACAAGTTTACAACAAGTTTAAACAAGTCTAAACAAGCTTAAATAAGTTTATAACAAGTTTAAACAAGTTTATAACAAGCTTAAACAAGTTTATAACAAGTTTACAACAAGTTTATAACAAGCTTAAACAAGTTTATAACAAGCTTAAGCAAGCTTAAACAACATTCATCGATATGAAACGATGAATGGAACTAACGGAAATGCATTTACAGAAATTTAAATAGAGCGTAAGTTGAAAGAAAATGAAAAGAAAGAAATGAAATTCGCATTTCTTATGCCTGTACCTAATATATCTTTATCTTTATCTTTATTTTTCAAAAA